CAAGATTTTGGAGGACCCTTTTCAAGATTTTAAAAGTGGACATAAAGCTATCTTCGGCTTTCCATCTTCAAACTGATGGACAAACAAAGCGCCTAAACCAAGTCTTGGAGCAATATTTAAGGTGTACTATCAACTACCAACAAGATGATTGGACAAACCCTTCTGCCATTGGTAGAGTTTGCTTATAATAATACGGTACATTCTTCCACGCAAAAAACACCTTTCTTTGCCAATTATGGCTATCATCCACGACTTGATACTTTTGATTTTTCAAAAGTTGATAATCCTGCAGTAGAAGATATAGCAAATCGGTTGTCAGAGTTACATGCAATAATGAAGACGCAATTGAAGGAAGCTCAAGAACGACAAAAGATAAACGCAAATCTATATCGTAAGGAGCAACCACAACTCAACGTGGGTGATAAGGTATGGCTACTTCGTCGCAATATCAAGACTATTCGACCTTGTGACAAGTTGGACTATCGTAGGCTTGGCCCCTTTTCTATTTCTGAACAGATCAACCCAGTTGCATATCGATTACATCTACCGGAGTCAATGAAGATCCATCCTATATTCCACGTGTCTCTTCTTGAACCATATAAGATAGTGGATATACAAGGAAGAAGACAAATGCCACCGCCTCCTATAGAAGTAGATAATAATGAAGAATTTGAGGTGGAAGAGATATTAGACTCGAGGCGGCGCCGAAATAAGCTAGAATATCTTGTTCATTGGCGCGGATATGATATTAGTGAACGCACATGGGAGCCATCCAGGAATATAGCAAATGCATCAGCTAAAGTCAAAGTTTTTCATCAACAACATCCATCAAAGTCAAGATGAAAATCTCTCTTATAAAAGAGACAAGATTGAGGCAAGATAACATTCAATTTCCTATCCTTGTTTGTAACTTCTTTGCATTTGTGATGCTAATTAGATGGAGAGCCAACAACCAGTGGATTCAACTCAAGAACCTTCGTTTGTTGACTTACCGGATGAGACATTGCGATTGTCACAACCTTCAAGACGACGCAACCGAGATGAAGACCCTCAAGAATGATATGTTCTTCCTCGAATAGATGGTGAGATACAACGTGTTTGGTATCACGACCTTGGAAGAGATTCTCGATGTTTGGTGATATTACTGGAGATAGGAATGACTTCTAATGGTGTTTCAAATGTATTATTTGAAGGAAGTTATGAAGGCCTCAATAATGATCAAATAACATGGTGGTCTTCTCGCCCTGGAATGGGACACTATCGATGGCTAATTGGACCCATCAACTACCTTCGAAGAGAACAGAGATCAGAGTATGTAGCAAATACAATTCGCCGCATATTAGACTTTCTCAACATATAATCACCGCTCCTCGTGGAACTCGTTCCTAGAAGGGGGGGTAATATCACGGATATACATATAATTACCTACAAGAGTCAATAAAAGTATGTAAAAGTAGATAAAAGTAGGTTAATTGTGCAATATCTTCTAGAGAAGCTTCCTAGAAGCTTCATAGATGCTGCTTTGACCTTATAGGAGTCTATAGTTGACTTTTAGGTTAGAAACTTGGTCAACAAGTTAGCCATGTGCAACACATGTTGGTAGCTTGAAGGACAAGCTAACTACGTAGTCCACTCATAGAAAACTTGCCTTGTAAGCAAAGACATGTGGTCTAGAAAGTCAACACATATTAGAGGTCTTATAGAATATCACCACGTGGCTTCTAGTTAGATAGTATATATAGAGGCAAGAGTGAAGCTCTCTTCACTCTTGTCAACTCCTTTCTTGCTTCTAGTCTAGTTTCAAGGGTCTCTAGTTTTCTTGTCCTTTGGCAATAGCCATTCCAGTTTCTCTTTCAATATATGTATTTGTTTATTTACCTCTCTTTGAGTGAAGGCTCACTTGTCTGAATTGTTTTTCATCGAGTTCTTGTCCTTGACATTAAGATATCAAAGCTTATTTTTAAAATTATCCAAATCTTATGGTCACTATTTTTTTCCATTTCCATCCAACTCTCTTATTATTTTTAATCTTTAAAGCTTGCTTCCAACATCTTAGCTTCTTTTGTCTTCTCAAGAATGATCTCATAACTTTTAGACTTAATAATAAGCCATTGCAAGCTTTTACAATCTTTTTACTTATATTCTCAAGTTCCATAGATAATCCAACTTGGTTTCTATGAGAATGTGTCAAAAATAACTCCAAACTTATACCTTCTTGAAGTCCTCTTAGATCTATTTTATAAAACTCTATAAAAAAATGCTTTTTAAAATTCTAATTTGGTATAGTTATAATTAACATGCTCTCTTTGCTTTTACATAAAACATCCATAAGCACAACTTCTTTATTTTGATTTTGATCTTTCACATTGTCTAAGTCCATAATAGCTCTATTTTTGTTCAAGAATGATTTTAGCAACATTTGTGCATCATTAAAAGTCTTTGGGTTTTCTTCAACCTTAAATTATTCTAAAATGTTAAAAGAGATTTTCAAGCTTTGATCACTATTTTGAATGATTTCAACAGAGCATGAAGTATCATATGTATTTTTATGGCATTAAATGTAGACCTAGTTAGTACTATATTCCATCCATGCCAATAAGACATAATGCTTTTTCACCTTTTTTGCACACCTCTAATATTTCTTGTAAGTATTCTTTTCTATATATTAATATCTCTTCTTCAAAATGTACCTACATAAACAACTACAATTACAAAACCAAAACATTTATATAATGCATATATTATAATGTAATTCTTTTAGATATATTCATGTTTAATTTTTATATGTCATTAAAATACTCAAATCAATTGTATCCCTAAAACAAACAATCAAAGAAATAAAAAAATAATAAATATAAACTTTATTTCTTTAATATTATGATATATATATATATATATATATATATATATATATTCATTTTGTGAGCCTTGTTCTTCGATATAAAAATAATAGAATGCTTAGCTTTATAAAGTCCAACTAAAAACTTTGTCTTCAATTGTGCAAGTTTTTTACAAATATCTCCAAATTTTGAACATTGTAAAGGATTCAAATGCCAACACTCTTCAACTAATTCAATCAATTCATTACAATTTTAAGGCAAATTTGGCCTATTTCCTTCTTTGATTGTTTTTAATATTATTTTTTTTCCATCAATACTTCTATAAGATCATAATCATTAGCAGACAAGTCTCAACAAACTTATCTTTCTCTTCTTTTGTTGTATAAAAATATTTAACAAGGTTTAGATGGCTCAAATCACCTAAGTTGTTCTTTTCATTGGAGACATGTTTTGTAAAACAACTTCCATTTTTTTGTGGTACTCAAGATGCTAAATTACTTGGATTTATAAATAACTCCAAATCCATCTTTACTTATCTCATTACTAATTTGTAATCTTTGATGTTATTTGAAATATCTAAAGCATCTAACTCTCTACCTTTAATATGATATAAGTCTTAACACCTTTCCAATAGATATTCTACCAATCTAAAATCTTCAAGAAATACATCTTATATTTCACTAGTCAATCTTTCATAAAAGCTTTTATCATCTTTTTTAACTTCATCAAATGTAACAACATCAAATGTAATAGATGCAATGTCTTCTGATTCTTGTATATGTTGTATTACCACACTATCCTTGATTGCATAGAAATAATGCTTTAAGTCCAAAATCAATTCTCTAAATATTTCTTTATTCTTCATTTGAAAGATTGTTGCTTCACACCACATTTCATCTCCACAATTTTAAACCAAGTAGATTTTGAATACCACAATGAACAGTTCATCATAAATGAACCTATGCTTTCTAGTATTATCATTACAAATCATCAACTTATCAAAAACTTTCATAACTTGATCAAGTTTAGTCCACAAATTTGTGCACTAATTTTTATTCAATATATATTTTTTCAACTTTAAAACTCTTATTTTTTGAGTCAAGATTTGACTTTGGAAAAAAATGTGCCATACTTTATCATATTCTATTTTAATAATGATGCAAGTCCTTACAAGAAACCAATTGAAGAATTAGCCATGATAGGTTGTATAAGGATATTCAAATCCAATCCTTCAATTGCACTTCAATTGTACAATGAAGGCACCTAAATCAAACAAACAAGATAACCAAATGCAACACAATTAGTGATAAGGCATATTTTTATCAATCTTACATATAATTTTTAAATATGCCAAGTCATTAATGCTTCACAGTCTTCCTTTTTTAATATGTAAACACTCACAACTCTCAATACTTCAAATACTTAAGGAGTAGGTTTTGTAGTCATACAAATCAATGTTTAAATCTTACAAATGTCTTGAAACACTTGTGATTACTATATTATCACAAAAAAAAAAAAAAAAAAAAAACCTTCACACATGTTTATAATTTTACAACCATCAAGATTACTACATCAAATGCCATATTTTAGACTCTTCTATACATAAATCAAAAACTTAATACTTTATACTCCAAATGGTCTTTTCTCTCTTGTCTTCTTCTACTCTTCAAATTTTTGAATATGTATCCTCTCATTTCTAATTCTTCTATTCCATATAAATTCTATATCTTGTCAAATAATAACATTATACTACAAATAAATAAAACTATTAAAAATTCCAATTTATTAAACTACATAAAATCTATTTACATCACATAAAAACAATATTATTCATAAAAAGATGAAATAACACGTTTTTATATCCTAACTTCTAATGCCATCACAATCCTCTTATATTTAAAAACACAATCTCCCATGCATATTTTTTATTGTTAATATTTCACAAGTATTAATTGCTTAATCAATAAGCATACTAAATGGTCATCAAACTTACTCAATTACATACCAAGATTTGTAGATAGCTATGTTGCAAATTCTTTCCAACTCTTAGCATTCAATATCTTCACAATAAAAACAGTCCCACATAATGTAAATTAATTCACCCTCAATGCAAATCAATACTACAACACATTTCACATTTTCCCATCAAACCATTCAATTTTTCATCATGAAGATCTAACTTCCAATAATTGTATCCAATTGCATCATTTTCAAAACATTTTCTGCCCACAAATTAACCACCCTTTAAAAACTACTTCTCACAAACTAAAACCAAGAAGTATCCTACACATATATGCTCTTTCAATTCCTAAAATCAAAAGCTTCCACAATAACCATCAATTTTAGCATCGATTGAATACCAATATCCCACTGTCTAGATCCACTTCCCAAACCTTCAAAAAAGCAACTCCTGTGGGATCAATCCAAAACACACAACTTCGTTGCAGACCACATTCCACTTGAGATCCAATGCAATCTCGTGCTCATGCTTACTAAACTGCCACAAAGCCATCATCAAACTGCTGTCCTGCAACAGCATCCCACTCAACTCTAATCACATGCAAAATCACAGAGATCCAGAAATCGGCCACAGGAAAGGTAATCTTCTTCGAAACCCACAACATGAACACCATCGACCACTCTACCCCTCACGACCACCACGAACACACCAAACCTCTCACGCAAATCTCAGACGCCCTCCATCCCATGCAATCGTAACTGAGCAGCAACCGCAACAACAAAACCCCTGCACACCCAAGTAGAGCGACTTCGCCACAGCCCACCAACTGATGGTGTGAACCTGCACATCGACCCTCACAGCAAACCCTCACCGATACAGGCACTCCGGCAAAGCTGATCTTCATACGCACCGTCCAGGTATGGACATTATAGCCGTATCGCTTCAGATCCCGTCAGGGCCTTGACGCTGGAAACCTCCAACACTTGCACTCACGCTGCTGTCCGCTCCACCCACCACACCCACTCTCACAGCTTAACAAAGTACTCCTCCACTCTGATCAGAACCGCTCTTCAAGCCTCCTCTGAACACCGAAATGTCCTCAAGCGACTGTTGTGGTGGCACTACTCGCACGAGACTCAGCACGAAATCGCAGCACGAGAAGAACAGGTAGCGTGGAAGCAACAGAACACACAGGTTATGGTGAGGGCAAGCAAAGCAACTCTGGACTTGCCGAGCTTGTCGATGCTCGGGATCCGGCCCCGTCGTGGATGGAATCGGTACCGATTGGTGGCCGGCCTTCATCTGAGACAGTGATGAAAATGTGGCGGTAGGGTGATATTCTACAGCTGAGTTGCATGAGGGTACAGAAAACCAGAAAAAGACGAGCCATTCTTTAGACTACAGTGCTGCAGTATCATCCCACCGTAGCTCGGAAAACGACAACAGAGCTGAAAGAGGCTTTTAAATCGGGAGGCCGGAGGCAGCAAGCATGATTCTCATGTCAGATTCGAGGAAACCATGTTGACTTCGAATGATTCGGGTTTCACACGATGTACTCTTGTATATTTTGAAAGTCTACCTTAATATATATTTACAACAAACATTCAGATATGTATGCAGACATAATTCTTACAAATTCTGCGGTAATTTCAAGTAACAATACATATTCCTCCAAGTATGAAGAGCGACTGTCAGCATGTTACCAAAAGATCAAAACAAATTTGCTTATAAGCCCTACCGTACATAAAAGTCATGAAAGATTTAAAATGCTGTTACTTGAAAGTTACAACAAAAAATATGTATGATTGGTGTGAGAAGGAAAATTTAAAATAGAAGTGGAAATCTTACATAGTCTCTACCAAATACATTTTGCAATTGGTGTTTAGAACTGTGTAAATCAAGGTCCTGATATTATATGATGGATAGATTTTTATATGAACTTTATAAAATAACTCAAGGGCAATTATTAAAATAAAAATATTTTGATTCAGATTTCAAAATATTTTTACTTTCATAATTTTTATTTTATTTTATCATTATTATATTTTTTGTTTTGTTGTTACAGTCTAATTGTGAAAAATCTTACTATTTAGAGTTTCCTTTTGTACAATGTATTTGTAGCAAGTGATCTTCTGTATGTTTTATTATGCTTTTTGTGTAATATAAATGATAAATTCAATTAATTTGTAATCTTTTATAAATATGTCATAGTAGTTTTTTTTTTTTTTTTTTTTTTTTTTTTTTTTTATCATATTATCAAAAACAAAGGTTTAAATTTTGAATCTTTGCAGTTACTAGCTAAGGTTAAGATCCAATATTGACTAAGCTAGCAACACCTAGGCTTAATAAAGGTTAGCTACTTTATGGATAGTTAAATCAATTTTATTTGAAGCAAATCTAAATCTTATTTTCTTTGCTTTTGCTAATAATGGAAAAAGGACATGTTATGTTAAATTAGTAGTTACTAAATCCACTTGTCAACAAGCTTATATATCCAGTAGAAAAAAACCAATAAAATACTTTATAAGATAAAAGTAAAGAGGATATATAGAAGCCCTTAAACCTCACTTGTGCATTATCAAAAGAGCAAGAATGGAAAATATTTCAACATAAGCTAATAAAAATTTGTATCATCAAATGATGGTTTCATTTGATTGATTTATTTATTTATTTTGATTTTTTTCCATTATTTATTAAGTGTAGATAATACAACAAGTTTAATAGTAAGGATTTTTATTATTATATATGTAAAGCTATTTGTCTTGGATTCTATTAATCTCAATCAACTACAATTATTAATATTATCATTAAAATTTTGATTTTTAATAGCTTTAAATATGATGTGGTAATATTAGTATTTATATTTTTATATTTTTATATATTAAAAAAATTAAAATATATACATATATCTAAAATTCTTATATTTAAATAAATATTCAAATAATTATTTTGGATTGATTATTGGAGCTTGTAAAGTAACGATACCTCTTTATGTACAAAGTAGGATTTGATGTTATTGCCTTGTATGAAGCCTTCAATTGTGGTTTAGATTATTATACTATTTTAATCCTAGTTGGATATATTATACCTTAATATAAGTATTTGCATCAAAGTAGTATTTTATTGTATTATATTATGTTATATTATATTATATTTTTTGCTATAATGGAGATGGCTTTGTACACCAAGCTTATGCACAATAAAATTGATAGTATTTAGACATATCTAGTACATGAGTATGGTAGAGCTTTTAGAGCATATATATATTTGTCCATGGACCTTTTAGAAAAATCTAAAATATTGATGTTTCACAACTTACACAAGCTTTAAGACTAGCTACACCATATAAAGTCTTTTTTAGGTGAATTGTTGCCAAATAGCCTCTTGCAATGTTATTCTATTGCATTGTAATACAACTTTTGGGTGAAAGAACAAAAGAAGATCTATATTATTGAAGAGCTTAATTCTATATTGAAAAAATATAAAAATAAATAAAGAAATAAAAAAAAAGTTGATTCGTTTAGAATTCATTTGTAAAAGATAGAAAGAAGTAGAATATAAGTAACTATATTGTTTTTTTTTTTTTTTCTTCTGTTGAAAAAGACTTTCAATTACTTGTAGAGCCACAAACAATGCAAAATAAGATAGATTAGAAAATATTATTAAATAGACATCTTTGTAATTGTTATAAAAAGTTAAATTAAGTTCTTGAATGAGTTATATCTATTTGTAGATTCTTTTTATTATCTTTAATAGAAAAAAAAGGATTATATATATATATATATATATATATATATATACAAATTTTAGATTGATATAGGATGAACACATAAACCTTATGCTTTTAAAACTACTACTTTTCTTATTCAAAAATTTTAAATTCTTAGTTTTTAAAATCTTACTTTTAAAATCTTAAAAGGAGGCTTAAGTTATAAGAAGCAAGACTAACTTTTTTTACCAAAGACATTTTACAACAACCAATCAATGTAAAAGAAAAATTTATACAAAAACAAAATATTTTAATTTCTCATATTTTTTAAATTTTTAATTTATTATTTCTTTTTTTCTTTTTTTTGATTATGTGATTTTATCAAATGTATATTTAATTACTTGTTTTAAAACATATTTTTAAATCATATTCATTTTTAATAAAAATGATATTTAAATTAAAAAATTGATGAATTTATTATTTCAAATTTACAAGTCACATGAAAATTATTAAAATTTCAATAAACAAGTTCTTATTATAAAAATAATAGTATAAAAAGATGAAGCTAACCTATTGTCTTTCTTTCATTTATGCACATTTGAACGGTGTTTTAATTCCCAATTGAATTTCCCAGTTTCCACGTGAACATCAGCATACACAACACAATCGGAGTATTAAGCATTGGCCAAACATGTAATCCTTGAAAAAATAATTTATCACATGAAGAATTTGCATCCATAACTTAAATAGCAATCAACACATGGTATATTATATGTATTATATTCGAAATTATATTAATATAATTTAATTAAAATCCATCATCTTTGAAACTCTTATACTCTCAAAGAAGAAATAAAACATACTATAAAAATGACTCTTTATAACACAAGCACAATAGAAATGAAGATTGGGCCGATATCTTGTTGAGAACCGGAATTATATTGATCGATAAGATCGAAGACGATAACCGATGACGGACTTTGAGTAGTTGAGAACCGGGTCATGCACCGTATTGGGTTGAGGCCTGGGATTAATCAGGCGGCTGAAACCATGTCCATGTCCGGTTGAGGACTGGCGTTAGTCCGAGCGGCCGGAAGGCATCTGTGGTTGTGGCATGGGCCGCCAAGGCCTGTGCAGGTTCTGAGCGAGGGCAGCATTGTCTGGTTTTTGCCTGATTTTTGGGGTAATTGCTGCGGAGGAAGAAGAAGAAGCAGCAGCAGCAGAAACAGGAATTGGAGACGAAGACGATTGGGAAGACGAAGGGAACGAAGGCAAAGACGAAGAAGATCAGATTAATGAAGGTTGTTGAGCGAGAGAGACAGAGATCGTGAACGATAGAAGTGGAGAGACGGCAAAAGCGGCCACCAATTGGCCACTGGATGATCATAAACACGAAGATTGGGAGACGAAGGGGGGCGTGTAGCTGAGAGAGAGAGCGAGAAGAGAGTGGGAAGCATGGCAGCACCCAACTTGGAGGATGTTGGGTCCGCTGCCCTGTTCGCTGAGATGCTGCGCCGCTTCAAGTGTGCCACCAAAGGAGAGAAGCGCATCATTCTTGTGGGTACGTCGATCGCTGAATTTAGTCCTCGGTTTATTTAATGCCCCCATATGAGAGCTCTTCCATATCTTGTTTGTGGGGTTGCCTATTGATGGATTGAATTCGTGCTTTCATGGCGGATTTCGCACGAGTTCGCCCAATTCCTTTATTGATGAAGTTCAGATGTTGATGGCAATTTTCTGTCCCGTCTCTATCATTCAGGCTCTGGCCTTGTGAGCTGCAAATGAAGAATGAGTGGAAAAGAGGAAAACCAGTCAATGGTTGGTTTATAGTAATTGACTTGTTCGGTGACGGGGTCTTTTCCAGCTCATATGCAAGCACCTCAAAGGATGTGTTCTTTAGGAGCTCACAACAATATTTGTGCATGCAAGATACGCAGGGTTAAAATGGGGATTTATTGAGAGTGGGTCTGTAGCTGCTGATGAGTTGTTTTGAAGCCTCCGGATAGACAATGATGCTACTGAAGATGAAGTGATTAATTGCTTGACTGATTGACTGATTGAAAGTTTGAAGGAACATGTTTTCCCCATTGAAAAAGCGGATTAAAGAACAAACATGAATGCAAAAGAAGGCTGCACACGAGATTGTTTGACCCTAGAGGCATTTTCCTTTCATTTGGGAACTGCGCAGGTCCCCCAGGGTGTGGAAAGGGGACGCAATCGCCGTTCATTAAGGAGGAGTATTGCCTTTGTCATCTGGCTACTGGTGACATGCTTCGCAATGCAGCTATTAAAGGAACACCCTTAGGACTGGAGGTCAAAGCGGCCATGGAATCAGTACTTGCCCATTTCTTACACCACCAGTTGTCCCCATCGAAATCTCACTTTTACACTTGCTTAAATGTGCTGGATATCCACTTAATTTATTTCATTCAAAAATCCTTGCGACCACCTATTGCAAAATGAAATCACCAATGGTTTACATTAAAATGTCTTCTCCGTCTCCTTAAAAATTGCTGATATTGACCTAATTATTTTACTAAGTGCACTGGCATGCAGGGGAAACTTGTTTCTGATGATCTAGTAGTAGGTATTATTGATGATGCATTGAAAAGGCCTGCTTGCGAGAAGGGTTTCATCTTAGACGGCTTCCCGCGCACGGTTGTCCAAGCTGAAAAGGTGAGTCATCTCAGGTGTGTGAAAGCTGTGGCGATGTGAGACGGAAACTTGTATTTATTTTTTCTATGTGGTTGCCAATTGTTTAAAGATAAGCTGTTACATGAACTCCTTGCACTGTCTTCTTCATGCTATGGCTTATTATGCAACGTCGGTGTCTGTAACTTTGCTTTGAGCTGTGAAACCAAATCATGGAGATTTGCTCCTTTGTGAACAGAAACCACCGTTGATCATATGCCATAATCGCATGCTGGTTCTGACACAATTTAAATACTTTAACAGCATGCCTGTGTTCATTGTAGTTGGATGCTATGCTTGCGAGACAAAATCAGCAAATTGATAGAGTGCTGAATTTCGCTATTCCGGACGCGGTACTTGTGGAGCGAGTCACAGGGAGGTGGGTACATCCACCCAGTGGTCGCTCTTATCACACCAAGTTTGCTGCACCAAAAGTTCCTGGTCGAGACGATGTGAGCTCCTCCCTCTCTCCCTCCCTTCATGTTCTCAAGCTTCAGTGGTTTCTAACTCATACTTCAACCCATAATTCGTCTCCAACCATTCAATACAGCTCAAATAGATGGGGTAGTTTTCTTACGTCTTGATAGCATTATCAAATTCTGCCATTAGTGAGAAATATGCAGCACCCAACTCTGCACTGAAACGGGAAATTCACTCTCCTGAGCATGTTTTCTACTACAACTCTGTGCAGCAGTCTGTTGATTAGCAAGTCCTTGGGTGCAGATTACAGGAGAGCCATTGATACAGCGCAAAGACGACAACATCAACACGCTCAAGAGCAGGCTTGAGGCATTTCACAAACAAACTAGCCCTGTGAGCACCATCTAGTTGTTCATCTTCCATGTGCAATTGTAATTTTCTGTTCAAGATACCTCTTAGCAAATGTGATTTTCATTATATAAGTGAGAGATGGACAGTGCATCATATTGCAGCATTTCAAAATTTCGCATTTGTAAAAACATTTGTGCAGGTCATTGAATATTATACAAGGAAGCATAAAGTGACAACTTTGACAGCTGATTCCTCATTCAGTGAAGTTTCAAGACAAATTGAGAGTGCCCTTCAGTAACTAAATACTGTTACTTTATTGGAACTATTGATTGCTTTGTGTTATTTAGCATTAAAAATATAATTTACAAAATAAAACTACGCATAAGTTACTTTTTAAATTGTAGTGAAATTATTTCCAAAAGTAATAAAAATCGATCATTTTTTTTATTACAGTGGAAACAAATTTATGAATTGAATCTATTGAGGATAAATAAATTATGTTTTATTTTTTAAGGATCACAAGCATTAAACTTCTTAACTCATATCAATGTAAAATTTCATTTCTAATAAATAAAAATTTACATGTTAAAAATAAAATGTTTGTTTATTGTTATTATACAAACATCTTTAAAAATGATTTCTTTAAAATAATTCGAGCTTGCTTCTTTAAATATGATATGCAATGCCTAATGATTGTTTCTTCTTTTATAGTATATTTTTCCTATATTATATATTTTCAAGACTTGTTTAACTAAAAAAAGTAATTTTAAATATAAAATATAATTTGATTCTAAGAAAGTAAAAAATGAATATTAAATAAATATTGAATATTGAATATTAAATAGTAATATTAAAAAAATTACAACGTTTTGGTTTAAAAATTTCTAAAAAATTAAAAGCTTTATAGATATTAAATTGTTGCAAATGCAACTTAACAAGAAGTATTGGTGCTCATTTTGAAATTTTAATATAATGCATATTTTTACAATGAAATAAATTATAATATTTAAGATTTTTATTTCTACAATTAAATAATTATCTGTAAGAGTAAAAAAAAAAAAAAAAAAAAAAAAAAAAAAATTACACTTTTCTACCACATAAAAACAATTGTGAGATATGGATCAATATCTAAGCATATTTTATGACAATCATTATCAAAATTTTGAAGTTTCAATAATACTTAATAAAATAATGAAAAAAAAATACAATATATTTAACAAATATCATAAATAAAGGAATAATATAAATAAAAATGTATCTATAATTGCAAGAGTCATTTATTGTCAAAACAAAAGGAAGAAGCATAGAAACAAAGCATTTGTGCAACTAAAAAGCATTCTAGTTAGTGCTTGAAGACAAGGCTTGCAAGAATAAGAAGTAATATTGTAATTGCAAAATAAATTGGTGGCTGCATTATTGTCTTATGTAAAAATCAGCTTGGAAATGTATTAGGCAAGTTATTGTAGAAAGATATGCTCTTATCTTGAAGTTGGATTCACAACCCAAAAACAATGCAAAAGATTTTTAGAAATGTCTTTTTGGCATCTTAAACAACCCAGGTAAGCTTCCAATTATACTAAATACATATTATTAGCTTTAAAAAAATCTTAGGAATATCTTATTATATTCTAATTATTTTCAAATAAAATTTGATTAAATCCAAAGCATATCCTAAGTAAATTCTAATTAAAATTCAATCAAAATTTAATCAATATTAACAAATATTAACCATATCTTAAACAAATTTTAATTAATCTTTATTTAAATCTTAAATAAATATTTTAAAATTCTAATAATATCTTAAGTAGATGCAATAGCAAATTCAAAACCTTAATAATTATTATTTAATTATAATTTTTAATTCAAAAAAATTACACTCCTCAAACTACTAGTTGACAATAAGTATATAAAATTTGAAAAGAACTCAATTTACAAATTGGAAGAAAAAACTTCTAATCTACTTGAGAGTCAATTGTCACTTTTCTCTAACCTTGATGTTAATCTTCCAATATCAATAGTTCTTTTTTGCACTATTCACTTATTCTTAAAATTGTATACATGTTAGAAACTAAGTCAAATATCGATCCACAATAATTTCATTTCAATCTAATTGACACGTTCTACAAAATCATAGAAATCCTCATTGATCCTCAAAATCCAATTTCCAAGATTATAGTAGACTTGAATTTCAATAATCTTTGATTTAACTATCTAATTAAGATTAATTTTACCACACACATCAATACAATAATTTTTAAAAATCCACAAATTCTCACTTATAAGCGTGCTATACAACTTACACAATTTATCAAAATATAATCCATTTTTTATTCTACAAAAAATAGAGTTATCCAAAATAACCTTGACTTGATAAAGCTCCAACAAAATCAATATCTAATTTAATTCCTCAAAAACAATGCTCAAAGAAACCTCATCAAGTTTGTTCTTTATCTCTACTCTCTAATTATAAATAAATAAATAAATAAATAAAAACTTACAATTGTTTAGGGTGCGCAGTTTTGTATTTTGAGGTCTAGTTTTGACACTAGTTCACGATTGATCCTCTCTATATATCAATCTAAGGATTTTTAAGATAAATTTTGTTGAAAACTATTCTTTACTTCATTTAAAGATTTCTATTAGATTATTTTTTCTAATCTACTTTGTTTTGCTTTTAATCCTATAAGTAAGTAGAAACTATTCTACAAAAGACAATATTAATACTAAATTTTTCACTACCTCCATATCTTTTATCTATGTTTTTCTAAAGTAATTTATTAGTATATTTTTCAATTAAGTTGTTCTATAATATAATCTTTATTTTTTTCTTTTATCTAATAGCCATGTTATAATACAACAATATAAAGACAAAGAATAAGGATTTAAAATTTCTATTTCTATAATGAGTATTGAAAATCAAAGATGCCTTTGCATATTCCATACAAAAAGTTAAATTACTATTGATAATTCATTTTTAAAATTTGTTCTTTTTTCTAATTGTAGTAATTAGACGTTTAGAATTTTTGTAAATATAGGAGTGCAACCATAACAATGCCAAAAATTAGAAGATAGAGAAAATAAGTTCATATTCTTAAAAAAATAACAACAATAAGTTTATACTTTTGCAACCTTTTAGTTCTGGTATTAATAGATTGTTTAATAAAAAAAATTACTACTATCAATACATTAAAAAACTTACTCTTATAATTTTGTATCTACTTTTGCATCTTTAGAAATAAATTAAGATTATACTAAAATGCACCAAGGTGTTTTCTCTTTTTATATATATTCTTTTATACAAGATGTTCTTTGTTATGAAATAAAATATTAATTTGCTATTAGAAGCACTTCTAAGTTTGTTTAAATTTATGTTCATGGTATCATAGTTAAAGGTCAATTAAAGTGGCATCACAAATTATTTTTTTAATTCAATAAAGTTTTTTGATGAGATCTTTAAGAAGAGATCTATTGACTCAATTCTCTAACACAATAACTTGTGTATGTTAATATCTAAGTATATAGAAATAAGTCATGAGATCTTTTTATTTTAAAGATTTTAAAAATAGTTATGAAGTAATGCAATATTTCTATTAAATATAAGGTAAATTTTATTATTATTATTATTATTCTTAGTAACATAATTCTTTAAATAATATATCTTATGCAAATTAAAGATATATTTTAAAGAATTATCAAAATGCATGGTGCATATAATTATATATTATATTTCAAAATTTAATCATGCAAAGAGTATGACTAATATTCAAGAATTTTCTACAAAGTATTTAAACATAAAGAAGTTAACATTGAAAATGTTGTAAAAGAACAAGACAGTAAAGAAGAAAATTATCCAATCAAAATTACAAATAGAATAAATTTTATTTAATAGCTATCAAGTAAGCATTGTATCAATCATTTTATCAATAGTTTAAAGCAAGATCGATTTATTAATAAAGATGAGTTTTTCAAAAGTATTTTCCAAACTAATATACAAAAGAATTCAAATTCTTCTTATATGATTTTAAAAATCAAGAATTAAATTTGTACAGACTTGTACCAAAGATAAGTTTAACATCTTTAAGACAATAGACATTTGGCAAAGATTAGAACATGTATTTAATTTAAAAAATATATAGTTAGTTAGTGATCTCTATATGTTTTAAGTATACGTAGAGGCCATGAGTATTTTTCAACTTCATAAAAAGTAACATCTTTTCATAAACTTTGGACACAACCTACATTTGCAAAAAAATGTCTAGACCATCCAAAATGTTATTTAACAAATAACACAAACTTACATTTTCAGCATGCAGACAACAGGAATCCTTAATAAAATCCTATTCTAACTAGATATTACCAAGAACATTGAACATGACTTTGATTGTACGCTTGGTAGTATAAAAGACACAACACTATCCAGTGAACTGAATAAGAGTTGCTCTGATACTTTCCATAAGTGCATGATGAAGCGCTTTAAACCTCAATTTCTCATTTTTGAAGAAGACGTCGCCAGATTAGAATTGCCAGGTTTAGGGGTCATTATCTAAAGACAACACGCATACTAAAATAAGAGGCAAATACCTCAGCCATACAGCCAATTTCAATTGGTACAAAGTATTGCTGTATGAACTTCACATTAGTGAGGAAGGAAAAGAAGAAATATTGTAACGATGAGGTTTACCCCACATCTTTTTACTGTTATCAAATGGATCATTGTTAGAAATCCAATTCTATACCTGCAAAAATAATTGTCGTCCAAATAGACCTCGAGTGAAAGAATTGTAGAGAGTAGCAGACCTGAATGAAGAAGAATTCATTAAATTCATGCCCCTATGCCAAGGTCTAAAGGTTTGATGCGAAAAAGTCCTAGGTGAAGAATACATCCACAAAACCATCGAGAAGAACAAGTAGAACATCTTAAGATTCAGTGGATTGAGAGGCACAAGGCAACATGCTGCAGAAGACATAGAATTTTGTAAGCAAAAGCCATCTCAAGCTTTGATTGTTCACGATTTGCCACAAGTTTAAAATTGAAGAATACATACATCAAGAATGAAAAGAAGTCTTTGACTCTCAACTTTGGCTTGGTGGCCATCTTAGTGCTAAGATGGCATCTAAACTGGCGGGCGAAATTCAACATTCAACTATCCAACTTCTTAACATCACTGCACAAAATCCATATACACAGGTCATACCCTGAGTAAATGAATAAGAGATAATTCATCCCCACCTCCTCCAACAAAGTCTGCCACATCTACAACTATTGTTAGGATGTATTAAGATCTAACACACCTCGGGATAACAAAAGTCTATATCAAATGGCAAGATTACATTTCACCTCCATACATGATTGAAGGTCTGCTCAGAATACTTCCTCGGGACTAACCAAGACAACATACTGTTGCAGAATCACTAGGCCTGATCAACGTTGCAGATAGACAGGCAGACATTGCGGCAAAACACCATGATCCTGGTGCAGCAGAGCATATTATACTGATGGAAAGTTTTACTTCACTTGTGGCACTAGATGATGCTTTTGGAAAGTCATCTAGTGTCAGCAAAAGATAACTCTACAAGAAGTAAGGAACTCCTGCTCGCGGTGCCATCATAGCCTGATTCTCCTCGGTCTCAGTAAAAAATTTAACATCCCTCTCCTGCAAAGTAACATAAACGCGAACTTCAAAACGAAGCAAAGTAAACCTAGCTTCCATAAATAACTTCTTAAGAATAAATATTAGCTGACACACATGAAATATACACTTTGCATTGCAAAAAATTGCCAAATACATGTTTTAAAATAAAATAATAATATAAAATAAGCATTGCATACATGTAACACAGTAAACCTACCATATTTTCATTGAAGCTTAATATCGAAGCAACATTTCCACATCTATAGCAATAATTAGGAGCAGACCACACCTGAAACAGATCAATAAAGCATCACAATATACTCAGAAATCACAAACAGAGATAGACCATACAAATCTGATGCTTTTTAAAGAAACCCCAACATGGGCACAGCTTGGACGACTAGATCCCAATCCAAGAAAACACTTGGGCCCAACAATTCAAACTGATATCAAGAAGCTATCATGAACATACAAAAACACGGTGCATACCGTGACAAGTCCTTTGTCAGGAAACATATACTTCAGTCCCTCTTGTACTAGTTGATGAGCACGACAAACAAGCTCCAATCCGTTTATATGATTAAACTGCAATACTACCAACAACGTTTATCAGCACAGCATAACGATATATCTTGACCTGCAAGTTAAGTCTAAAATGAAACAGAAAGCCTTACACTAAACGAAAAAAAGAACAGCATAAAGCAGGCCTTCGCTTAAAAGGAGCACTTAAAGTGCATTGACAATAAATTTCAAAATAAAGCTGTTTCTCCTTAGAGTGCAAATTGAGTTAAAATGAAGAAAGCATGCCTCGGAGGTAACGCGTGCACCGAAGAGCCATCCAGCACCTCGTGGACTAACAGCCCAAGTCTCGATATCCTCAGGGTCACTCCACATCAGATCACAAAATGGCCCCTCGTGAGGAATCTCACACTGCCTCTCAATCACCCTAATCTGCAAAAAAAGATAACAAATGGCTTTGAGTAACTATCAATTGCATCCATGATGAAACAAAAAATTCACAAACTACAGGATCAAGATATTCAGGATAACAAAATTTATAGCACTGTCACATCGTGCGGTTCATGAGAAATGATCCACATAATTGATAACTCTCTCCTTCTACAAAAGACAGTAGTTAACCAGCTTACCAATGATCAGAGGCTCTGGTTTGCATGAACGAATTATCTAATGACACTCCAACTTCGATACGATTTCTCGCACAAACAGGAACTAGTAACTTCAATTACGAGATTGTAGTGAAAACAGCGCTTACCTGATCAATTGTTCGAACGTCTGGAGACAATCCTCCATGTACACACAACACCTGAAACACAAAAAATACAGGTTTGAATATTTAATATAGATGAGAGTAATAAGTCCAAACAAAAGCTAGAAATAACTAATCCTACTTGACGAACAACAAGATCACTACCCTGAAACTCTTAAAATGGTATAACCGTCGTAAATGTTCTAAAAACTTGGTTCACAAGACTTCCTCTCCAGCCATGTACACTTGAATGACTCCATATGGAATCCTAAGTCTACATGACTGATCAAATTAATCCTACAGCACGATGAGATCTACCAAGAGGCTCTTTATCGAAAATCTGGGTTGAACATACACACGGACAGAATTTAACCGTGCAAGTTTGAACTTTACCCTTCCATCTATGATAGCCGAGAGTGTCAGGTAGTCAAAAACGTCAGTGCAATACCGCCAAGCATTTGGGTTTCCATACTTACGCTGACATTCATCATAAAATCCATAGACCTGTCAGGCATACCACTTCGGACAAAATCAGAAACGTCTCGGTTATTCCAAAAATTGATGGATGCACGCACACAGATAGCTGTATCTTAGAGAAAATCAGACAGACATTTGCATGGAAACAATTGGTGTTGAAGACAAGTATCCACCAACTCTATAAACCACCCACTATCTAAACATCTGTGATCCTTCGGCTGGACCTATCAGCCTAATATTCGGAAAAGGCAAATCGATACCTGAGTGATTTGTCTACTCTCATGATTACCCCTCAACAATGTCATATGAGCAGGATATCTGCAATCGAAGACACATAAATAAGGATCCGTGGATTACTTTCTACGTCCAGTAACATTCGCCTGAACATCCTACCTGAAGAAATATCAACATGTAGGGTGAATTAAAGGTATGTTAGGGCGATTGTTTTATACATTTGTAAACTACCAAAACCCAAAGAGACCAGTCCATACTAGTGACTGATAATATTGGTATACCTTGCTTTCAGAAGCAAAAGTATTGTAAATACTTCCAAACTGTTATAACCTCGATCCACAAAATCACCCTGCACATGTCCACAACAAGACCAGTTTCGATAAGAAAATGGAAATCCTTATACTCGTCATGCAAGGCAGATGAAGAGCATCAGGCGACAGTGTATGTATATATATATATATACCAAAACAGAAATATTAACCACCAAGAGTTCTCATTCAACCCGGACGTTTGCTAATATTCTTCACATTCTTTAAAAGACCAGAATGTGCCGACCAAAATGCCCGAACACGACTGACTAGCAAACAGGTAAACTCGATACTTCTTAAGTTGAAGGGCAACCATGTAGAAGGGAAGCAACTCCAAGAGGCCTACACATTCATTGTATGCACTGAGACTTCAAAAAAATTATTGAAGATTCATTATTTATTCATCAATATATTATTCAAATTTCACATCAGCCCTAAAAAAGAAGCGTCTAGAGATGCGTACCATGAAAATGTAATTTGTACTAGGCACATGTCCTCCAGTCTGAAAAAGCTTCATTAAGTCATGAAATTGTCCATGAATATCGCCACAAACAGTAACAGGACTGTTGACAGGCTGAACATTGGACTCCTCCATCAATATTTCTTTCACCTGCGGGAGACAAAAGAGAGTTTATTGAGCAATGAAAAACAATGCCAGAGAGGCCATCTGCGCTGATAACCCCTCGCACAACCAAATAGAGCTGACGGCATTTGTGACACAAAAATGCCTACTGCAGATGGAGGCAGAGTGTTAAATCCTGAGAAATGACATTCGCAAACATAATTTCATTCTTTCGCTAGTACAACTAAAGGAAATAAGTAGAACTAGTATATAAATTTTGCTACAAATGTCTTTGCAAAATTGTAGAAATGGAGCGAGGATTCAACATTCCTTTTGGATTGCCCTCTAATCGCTTCATTCAAGTAGCTTTCTCAGCGATAAATCAGAAAAAATTCGGCAGCATGAGAGTAGACCCAAGGTATGAAAGATGCAGAACCATTTGCAACCCAAAAAACATCATGCATAGACAGTAATCCCAAATTTTCATTCCATTTATCCGCAGCAGCAAATCAAAAAGGAATGTCGAATCCTCGCCCCGTTTGTTTCCAAGTTGCTGCTTGAACTAGCTTTCAAACGTAATTTAGCTTCCTAAATCCTCAACAGCCCAGGATCACCGAAAATGCTAACCAATTCCTCTACATGTTCGCCAACTTAGGCGAACTTCCTGTCGCAACCGAAGCAACTGGAGGAACTACATGGAAAGCCAGGGCACGCAATTCCAATGCAAACACAAAAATTGGACGTGAAAATCATTCTAATTCCAAACCCTAAACACTTGCATTAACGTGGTGAATCATCGACACTCCGCAAATGCCTTCATAACTGGGCGGTGCGCCGCGGCATTGAACCGCTTCACGAAACCTGAAAACACCACCGAAATCCACAAGTACCAGACCCCAGGTAGTATCCCCCACACTTACATATTCACAGAGTTGCTTCAGCTCGTCTTCCAAGAGGTAGTTGCCGCCCTTTACTTTCTCAAGCCACTGATCCAAGTCCATCGTGTTGTGTCCAGCCAACTCCCTTTGCACGGCTCACACCAACAAGAAGATGCAAAACGCTAACACGTACACCGCCACTTGCGTCCGCAGCTCAAAGCTACAAAACCCCCTCAGGCCACGTCCGAGGGCAAAGTGACAGCCTGAGGCAACCCTAGCCCCCGCAACAAACAAGCTCCCAGACCCTCCCTCCCTCCCTCCCTCCCTCCCTCTGCCTGCCTTCCTGGCAAAGATTGTGCTAATCGGATACTGGAGCTCGTGGCTCGCGGTGGATGTGGAGAATCCAAGAGCATTTCAAGATGCGAGCAACCGAGTACACAACGCAACGCAACGTAACGCAACTCAACTCAAGCAAGCAAGCAACGAAGCGGAGCTCGGCTTGGCTCGGCTCGGGGGCTTGGCTTGGCTGGCCTTGGCTTGCCTTGCCACCCAGTGGCCGACCAATTCGGCTTCAAACTGCCTCCCTCCACTATCGACATCTACCCTTCCCATGTTCCGTTCCCACTACTCTATGGATGTCCGACTTTGCATCCATCCCAATTCGCATCCGTCGATCTCTGCATTCATCTATCGTTTAATTCATCTCTGTCTGTTCCTCTTTCATCTCTTCCTTCATCCACTTGTTTCTTCATTCATCTTCAGGCGTCCATGTTTCATCTCTTCGTTCCTTTCGTCATTCTGTGCGTTGATTCGATGTTCCTAGGATTTCATCCAAAACGATCATCTATCTGCACACTGGATTTAGAAAGCATCTTGTATGATGCAAACTGCCTGGTTTTAAGTTTTTCGTAATTCCAGAAGAGCGTGATCTATAATGTCATTATCATAATGTAATGTGATTATAATGTGATTATAATTGAATTATCATCTTCTTCTTTTTTTGTTTTTTTCTCATTAAAATTTTCATTTAGGAAAACCAGTGTAATTCATATCATTCATTGCTTGTACTGTAAGTGTAATGTTTTGTCATTACTGGCTCTCATTCAATTCAATAGCAAACAATAACTTCACTGGCACAACCTAAATGACCACGATATTGCATCAAGCTTTAACCTCATTTTTATTATCAAAATACTGTTTTAAAGTGAGGGAATTACAGCATTCATCTCCTGATAGTTTCGCAACATTGTGTAATAAATATAATTATAAATAAAATAAATCCATATTATTACCTGTCATTACTTTACTGATTTGGTTTGGGTGATTTTTACCAATTTTGTGTTTTTAGTAAAATTCAGTTATTTGAAAGAATTGAACTCAATAAACAATAGTTTTGGACAGTGCAAGATCACATAGGTTGTGATCCTTCATTCAAACTTGTAATTGAAGTGACATGTAGCAATTCAAAACTACGCACGTTATTTCATTTTTAAAAATTGTTGTCACGTTTACTACTATTCAAAGCTCATTCTAAAGACTCTACATATGTTTTTGTATATACACACAATAAAAATACAATTAAATATAATATCCAATAATAACAATCAACGACGACAATCGTAACCAATGCATTCTCTTTAATGATTTAAAACAACAAAGGAAAAAATCATTTAAAAACACAATAATACAACATATTATTAGTAGCACATAGTATGTGTAGAAGCAAATTTTGTATATCGATTAATTTAGTATTGAGATGGCATGAAGACAAGAAGGTCAATGTAATGAGTATATGATACTGTATTGATAAAACTACAATATTTTCAAAAATTAGGTGAAACAGTGATCTTTTAAGGAAGTTCAACTGCCAATTTGTAAGATCACCAGGACAAGGTTGAAATATTTTCGCTATTTTGTTACTACCTCACAGTAAACTTTTGATAAGACAAAGATATATATATTTTTTATAAACGAGTCATCAACATTCAAAACTTGAAAAGCAAACCAAAATCACTACTTAATAACATATCAACAATAATTTGGTCGGTGAAAGGTTTCACAACCCTTAACTCGATCGAGAATGAATCACAATGATACAAAACTCATTTTTTGATGTAGCAGCAGTACCTTCTACTAATCAGGGTTTACCAGGCGGAGAGGATGGTATCCAGTGCTTTCGATCCAGCGACCAATCCGATGCAAATAATCTTCCTTGGCGATGCCTTAGCACCCATCATTCCAGACCAAATAACATGCAAAATGTTCGTAAAAAGGTGGCACTTTTATAATCTTTCCAACTTTGTATGGACGATAGTTTTTGCACGCATAGACACAGATGCACGCTGGGAGAGGGAGGGAGGAAGGGGGAGTGCATGGAGACATCGAAGAGTGAGCATGCAGAAGCGCAGCAGGCGAAGGGGCCTCAGAGCTGAACCCCGAATGAAGTCTCCCACACGCAGGACGAGCAGGACAAACAGGACACTGACAATTCTGACGATGCTGAATGGCAAGCAAGCTGGGCCCACACAACGACAGTCCCCTGACACGTCCACTCTTCGCCCCGAGCCAGGCAGGGTACAAGAGCCTCTGCACAAGGCCGTGTACCAAACAGCAATAAGTTCAAAATCTTCCGTTCAAACCAAGGCACATCTCTTCTTTCATTTTTTCTAAAAATCATAATGAAGCTTTAAGCAAGCAGAATCAGAGGCAGAAGCAGCACCAGCACGCGATTCGGGTTCCAGAGAATCCAGGTTTCAGACACAACGCAAAAACCTCAACGATCAGTTGAGGATTGTGTACACTGCCAATGCTGGATATTGTCTAGGGTCCTACAAGGATTGTTGTCCACGTCAGAGGATAGAACAACCTCACGGATTCCTGTTTGCCTACAAGGAGAGGATCTAGACTGTATGTCCGATGTTGTTGCGTCAGGTAGAGAAGAGAAAACTCGCTGATCTCGATAAAAAATTCAATGCATTGTTTCTTTTCATTCAAAAACTGGCATGTCGAAGGTGTTGCAGCCATGATATGAGCTGCTAGAGCGAACCACTCCTGTGAACGCATCTAGCAAACGTATCAAGCAAAGATTTCGACAGGCAGACACACAAGCATACATAATCGAACTAACTCGTATGTGGGTTTTCGGGGAGGCTCATGTTTCTCAAGCGTCGTCCTTTTTGCTTTGAGACTCTTTGCAATGCGCGATGGCGCCCTGGATAGCGCTGTGGAGCTCTGAGCTCGAGCAGCTGGTGCTCGGACGGCGCCTGACGGATGGCACAGGTGGTTGTGGTGGCTTCCTGATCATGCAAAGGGGGATCATGTCCTCCGCGGAGAATCGGAAGCTCTGGGTGAATGGGGGGAAGCTCCTTGTGTTGGTGATGGCAGGCGTGGGGAGGCTGTGAGTGCTACCGGGAGCTTGATCTGCACAGTCGCCTTGGCTGCCGGTTTTTTTCTGCAGCACCTTCATGTAGCGGTGCACGTAGCCTTTGACCTTTTCCATGCTGCGATGGTAGTAGTGCTTGTCCTGCTCCACGCCTACTCCGTGAACGGAAGCTCCAGAATTCAGGAGCAAATCCCCGCTCGGCGCCAACTCCCCGCTGCAATCGCTGTAGTATCTGTGGTCCGAAGACGCGGGCGAGCTGGAAAAGAAAACGCGATGGTCTGAACTGAATTGCTCGTTCGGCTGGTTAGCATCCTGCAGGTGGCCGACGTCTTGCGTCGAAGTGGCCGAGACGTCCATGGGAACGTCCAGCGGCTTCAACAGCGATGATTTCTTCGCACCAAACAGGACCTTCCACTTGAACGGGGGTCTGAGCCATGTGGAGATACCGATTGGGCGGCGGCGGTGGTCGCAGACCGTGCTGTGCGTGCTGAAAACCTCCCGGTTGTGCATAAATGTCCATTTACTTTCGAGGTTGCGGGAGGCTGTGAATAAAGTCTCTTTGCCGCTATCGAATCCATCCTGTGAACTTCCGCTCGAGTCACGGGAGCTGCTGCATTCGCCGGAGGAGTCCCGGTCGGTTGAAGTGAAGGATGCGCGGCTGGAGGTGTAGCCGGCGTTCTCCTGAGCCAGCTCCCGAGGGTCCCACCATGTGGTTGAGGACGAGGACAAGAGGTTCGGAGTATTAGAGACAGGGACTGAGACTTCCCTTGAGTTGTGCTTCGGCTGAAACAAGCGTGCAAATCGTGCCTGCGACAGCGGCGGATTCCCATGCGTGACAGTATCCTCGCACTGGTTTCTGCAGTCAGGCCCCGCAGGATCTGCTAGATGTTTCAGCTCTTGTGGCCACTGCTGCTGCCCATCCAATGACAGTTTTTTCACCATCTGAATTCGTGGAGGAAGATGGAGCGGCAGCAGCTGTCCCTTAAAAAATAGCTCATCGGCTGGAGAGCTACCTGAAGGGTACTGGTGCTCCACCACTGCCGAGGACGATGTTGACATGCTACTAAACTCAAATTCTTTTAGTAATTCCTCGCTTGATAGCTGCTTCACCTCACTGCCGTCAACCCGGTCGCGACCTGCTTGCACCTCATAACTACGTTTGTCCGAATCCTCAACGTTAGTCACCCCGTCGACTTCGGTCTGATCTTTCCCGTCGAAGTTTGTTGACTCGCCGGGCGGCCACAGAAACAGAAATGACATGGTCGACTCCCAATCAGCGCAAAACTCTGCAACTGCTGTCCCTTCAGGACGCCGCGGCTTAATTTGGGTAAAGTCTCGACGCTTCCATTGCTCGTCCTCCATCCTAAGCCACCGTGGAACCACAGCTCTTCACTCACGATAATGTTTTGTAACAAGTTTCGAGCTTTGCAACTATTAGTATTTCTAATTTGCTGCAGTTGATGGTTGCGAACAACACCTGCACCAGATAGTATATATGCTTTCTCAGAACCTCACATTTAGGGAGGGCGACTTCACCACCTTCAAAGTGGTGAAACCGCAACAACGACAGCGAGGATTCCACGAAATACACCTCGTCACAGGAAATCGCATACATGGTCGTTAGGAACAAGGTGCATACCGTGACAATCTCCTTTTCAGAAAAGATAATGTGCCTGGCTCCCTCTTCATAAAAAAATTGTTTTACGCAAGGAACTTGAGGTCCAATGCTGGGACACAAAATCACGCGTAGAAATCTATTGCAGTAACGCAGTATGTTGAATATAAACGACCACCAACACCACACACCTCCGGACAGCTCAACATGAGCAATCTTCGGCCATCACGACATCCACTACAAATAACCATTTCATGCTGTTTTATCACGCAGCACTCAAGTTTGGTGCTGGTTCACCTCCCAAACCTCACCACCCTGAAACGTCATATCGCCGCAGCAGTCGGCCATCTCTTGCCGTCACCCTACCTGCCACTGAAGCGAACATTCAATTATTTCCAACCTGCTCTTCGCGCTCACGTTCTTCCCACACACCCTTGTCGACAACAGCGCTGCAGCCACGCAATCCCAATAATCATCGACGACACGCCCACACTCCCCATCGGAATAACACCTAGAGTGAAAAAGCAATCGGTACCCCCAAGAGTGGAACCTGGGCGAGACGACCTGGGCGAACCCACCTGAGAGAGACGTCTCTATTCTCACGACACCATAGCTAGAGCCCCCGCGCGACAGCAGACGAACGCAACGGACCCCGCGAGACTGGACGACGAGTACGTTGGGGTCAAGAGCTACACTTCCTCTCGGGCCATAATGATTTTTCCGTGCAAAGACTGTACAGGCCATCTGACATGGCTGAGCAGCTCCTTGTGGCCCATTGCAACCTGTGACCATTTACACTTGCTGCAGCTCTTCTCTCCACTCATCACCACCAGCTCGCCTTTGTTGTGGTAATTCATGTCCCCTGCACTAAAATCATGAGGCGAGCGGGGCGTGTGGGGGGGGGGGGGGGAGCCTCGAGAGTGGGACCGTCTGTGCCGCGAGGTGCCGCGCGGCCAACATTACACTGTCACACCCATTTATTAGCGTCTGGCTAGCGGGACTGCTGCCCGCTGTGCTCTGCCCCCTTTCTCCCGGGCAGCAATTATTGTGCTTCTGGACATTGCTTCCAGGCCCCTGGGCGTGAAGGCTATTCCCTCTCAGCCTTTCGGAAGGGTGACGTGGCAATGTGAATCGTTCCTACCTAGGCATGCCAGCTGGCGGGTGCCGCGAGGTGGCAACAGTGGGGGTGCAGCAGGTACCGTATTGTTGCTTGTTGGTCGCGGCTTACGTGGACATTCACGCACTGGGATAAGTCCGTGGTGGAAGGCTGAGGACCTTTAACCGACCCCCGCATCTCCTAATCCCCCACCCCCTCCCCTGTTCCTGCAAGGTTGCAACCATTCTCGCACGGTCCTCACAAGGTTTTCATTCATCCAAATGCTCGTTGCTTGTCCCACTTTCCTTCTCCAATCTGGTGGCGTTCACCAATGTATAATTTACAACCAACATCGGATGGATGATCCTTTAATTTAACAAAAACGAATGAGACGAAATGGAAACCACTGAAAGTAAGTATGTATAATATTTTAAGTAAGAAATATTGGAATGGCATGATAAATTTGCATGCATGTGATATATAAATAGATAGAGAGAGGAGAGGATAATATTAGATCAATCCACATAAATCTTAGATTGATTCACCTTATTTCTATGATTCAATTTTTGTGATTATTTCTTTGGTTTGAGAGTAGAAAAATCTTGTGGACTTATTTTTTTGATTGTGCCTTGATTTCTTAGCAAATCTGTAGTGACCATGTTTTATGGCATGAGGGAGGGAGAGTGGAAGAAGTAGATGATATTGGGAGAGGATGTGCCCAAATAGTGTGTGTGTCCTAGAATTGGATACTTGGGAGTCCTTCAAACTCCAAGTCCCTGTGAAGCAATGCAAAAATATAAATAAATATATAAACAACTTAATTCCCTTCCTTCCAATAAGAAACTTGGATTCATTTTTGTTGTTGTAGTAACAAAGATTGAATCATGGGAATAAGGTAGGTTGATTCAAATTTTAAGTGGATCAATTTAATGTTCCTCTATATATATATTCACACTTATATTAACATAAATTGTTGCCAACTTTACATATTAACACTTAAATTTTTTTGGTCTATACTTAAAAAAAGAAAAAAGAAAAAAATAAAGATGATGAAATAGTAACAATGATTGAGTATACAATGATAAGTGAACTGATTTCATTCTACAATGTTTACAAAGATTGCAAGTATTCAACTAGGAATAATACATAAAGAAATATATAACAACTAATTTTGCATAGTAATACAATTAAACTAACAAAGAAAAAAATGGATCAAATCTAGGAACAGTAGTTGAGCATCAATACACAATAACATGCTCAAATAAATGCATAAAGTTTATTTTAGTTCTTTGTGATTTCTACAACAATATATATATATATATATATATATATATATATAAGCAAATATATTTTATAATGTAGGTGATATTTATAGGATAAGGTCTTAATATGTATTTTTATAGAAGAAATAAGGGAAGAATTCATTGTGTTTAATTTACGTTAGGCAAGGGTGAAAAATCGTTACGCGAGTTAAAAACAGGAAAACAAAATCCAAGACGCAAAGAGATTTGAACACGTCAGCAGACACAAAATTAGAAACCCCGCCAACTTTCGCGGCACCTCCAAACCCCACGCAGCGGAACGACCTCCACCTCCGGCGGCACGGTTATAGACACCCCCACTCAACGTGTCCATGACGACCGAGAAAGGTCCCGTAGCCAAGAGAGTCGAGAAGAAGGTGGCGAGAGGGAAGGGGATGACTGTGCTGGGAGGCACGGTGATAGGAAGCAGGGCGGGGAGTGTGGCGATGCCCTAACGGGGCCTTGACCGAGTCGTAGCAAGCCAGGGGAGGGCGTCGGCTCGGCTCGGCTCGGCTCCGGGTGTCTCTCTCACACGCGCATTTCCCCTTTTTTGCCGTGCTGCTCTGGTCTGGTCTGGTTCTTCTGTGTGCTTCACTGCATCGCCTTTTCGTCGGAAGGGAGCGGGAAGGGAAGGGAGAGAGAGAGTGTGTGTGTGTGAGAGAGAGAGAGCGTCAGAGGGAGGGAGAAAGGAAGGGCAGGGTAGAGGGAAACAGGGCGAGGGAAAGGGCAAGGGAAGGGGAGGGGAGGGAAGAGAGAGAGAGAGAGAGAGAGAGGGCTGGGTTTTTGCGGGAGCGGGGGAGGCAGGGGGAGGGATGCAGGGGTTTTGGCGAAGTATGGCGGGGAGGATTTGAGGCGCAGGGGGTGTTGGTGAGGGCGTTGGCACTGTCTGTGCACAGGCGGCGAGAGGAGTGGATGTGACCAACTGCGTAGGGTAGGGTCGTGGGGGTTTTAGATGTTGTGCAGGCGGTGGGGCGCGAGCTAGGCTGACGCCGTGGCTTGGGACTGAGGTCGGCAGCTGGGCTTCGAGCCCGGAGCTGCAACCATGTTTACCAATGTCTTCCGCATTGTGAGATTGCGCATCCGCTAGTTGCTCTCCCTTGTGTTGGATTTCCTTCGGATTTTGGACGATTTTGAACATATCTTGAGAGGCCCCCCTTCCGGAGTGTCTCCTTGGAGTGGGTGTTACTGTAGCGGCGGAAAATTGAGGCCATCGTGCACTCGATTGGAAGCTGAGTTTTGTATCTGAGTTTCTAGTTACTATTGATTCTGTATTCGGCAAGGATCGGCTCTGTTTGGTGCGGAAGGGTGAGCGACCGAGAGAGAGAGGAGAGAGAGAGCGAAAAGTCTTCAAAACTTGACCTTGGGAAACAGTGGCTTATGACCTCGAAGCAGCCATTCTTGTTATTAGGAAGTCTAGAAATGAAATAAGCTATTTGAATTTTGTGTTTAAATAAATAAAATTACGTGAAATTCTCGTATGGGGCAGTGGAAGTACAATTTATTTTATTTTAGGAAGTGGGTCTTTGTGCGTATTACAACGTTTTCCTATTGTCTGTTTTTAACCCAAACCCATACATTAGAATTTTTAATAATAATTTATTATTACCAGATTGATATATTATTCCATTGTTTGAGGAGGTCAAGGAATAAATAGGATTTTCTTCGACGTGAAAGATGTTTCTGAGCGAAAAATATTATTTGTTGTTTACAGGCAACTAGTCTTTGTCTATGATTCCTGAAGTCGGCTGTTTTCGTTCTAATTTTGCTTTATTTCAAAGTAACTAATCAAATATTGAGACTGTAGGTAGTGTACACCTGGGACGCCTGTAAAATGGGTTCTTGTCTTGACATACTCAAGCAAAAGCAGAATGAGATCCATAGTTTCAATGAAAATTAAAAGTGAAAAGTGGAAGGCATAGTTGCAAAGGACAGCTCAAAACGTACGACTTTATCGAACAAAAACCTTAGGCATGGTGAAGGCAATTTCATGTGTTTCTTTTTGTATTTCTTTTCTTCGTTTCATGTCATAATATTCTTCCAAACGTCTTCTCATGCAGGGAGGACTACAGCAGGTGTCATGGTTTCAACTCATTGCAGAGGGAGAGAGTCTCTCCCCGAAAATTTCCATCGGGTTCGTATGTCTCCCCTGCCGTAGCGGTTGTGTGCTAAAGGTCGTGAATTATATTTTGGATTTGGGAATCTCATGGTTACAATTCAGTCATTGAGGTACAGTCGTGCACCAGAGGGTGTGGGTGGCCTCTCTGCTTCGCGAGTGTAAATTTCTCTCGGTGCCTTGAATGACTTTGGTTACATCTCGGCTGCGTTTGTTGTCAGGGAGGAGAGATCGCAGCAGGATGTGGCTGCAATGCAGGTGATAAGGGCACATATGTGGCTCCAAGAGGCGGGAACTTTGAGCAGCTGGACTCTGTCAGGTAAAGTTCGTTTCTCATTGTATACTCAGGATATATGTACCGAGTAAGCTTGATAATTATTTGTTTTGGATAGCATGCTATAAATTACGGTGTATATTTGCGAATTGTTCATGTTGGTACTGATTGGAGACCTTGTTGCTGTGCAGATAGCAAAGTTAAACTTTGGCTGTTTTTACCAGGGCGACACGACGGTCTCAACCCAAGGGTTCATGCTGCAGTTGCAGGTCTTAAAGGTCAGTTGGAGACGCCTACGTTTGTTTAAAGTGTAATCAATTAATGATCTTCGGACTAGACTAATATTCATGATGATGTTCCTGTTTGATTAACACAGTGGTTGGATCTGGACTTTGGCGTGCGCCTGGGGAATGTACTGAGGTTGGTTTTGCCTTGGATCAGGCATTACGAAATCGAATTGAGAAGTAAGCCCTGTCAACCTTTACTTGACAAGAATATTTGAAGTATATCACTTAGAAGCTCATGTCATGTTGCGTATGTATCACTTGGTCTTGAAAACCTGTGTTTTAAAGCTAATTAGGAAATGCTTCACTTGCTGCAGAGGATTTCAAACTGTATCTTATGTTCGTTTTGGAGATGTCTTTGTCAAATGCTTGCGACAAAGTTCCAGCGAACTGAATTTGAGGTAAGACCACGGATTTGGCACTTAGGGTTTCTTTGGACCGTAGTCAGTCCTAAAACCATTTTTTATGTAGACAGTTTAGTATGTGTTCTGTAAGTAATTTAGCTGGTAACGTTCTTTATTGTAATTTCACACTACTTGCAAATCCTATCTCTCTAGTATCTCGATCTATTGCACATTGAAGAACATAAACGGAATCACCGGTTCACGTTAATTAGTCCATGTTCTGACCCTATCATTTTAGCTGTGGTAGGATTCTAGTTTATGGTATGTATTCGATCATGGAATATTTTCTTCAGATTGCTTGTTATGGTTAAGTCCCTATTTTCGAAATCAAATTGACTCAGTTACACGAAAAATAATGCTAGAGAATTCAAGAAAATAAAGATCTTGTGTCTAAACCTGGTAAAGAGTACTGATCACTTCTTGCATATGGCTGTTCTTTTCTGTTTCAGGAAATCACTTTTCAGCTGCGAGCTAGTATTTACAGCAAGCAACGACGCCATCTTTGTGCATGTATTTGTGCGCCGAAAGTGCGTAGAGAACCTTGTGAGGCACTCTTGATTAAGCTAGAAGTTTTTGTGAGGCTATGACAGGCTTAAGCGTTTAGAGCTTTGAATCTTTTTCTACTGTAGTGGATGCAACAAATGGATTAGTTATTTGACGGATGGGGATTAGACTGAGCATCTTTTGGGGTGCAATTACTTTAGTCCACGTGCTTGCAAATGTGGGTATGTTGCTGCAGGACTGATATCTTGTTTGTGCATTACATCGCAGGAGAGTTCGGCAGCTTGCAATTAGTGATTTGCAAGCAGCACTTGCTCAGCAGAGATCCAACTTGGGCATGTGCGATAACAGTCTTGCAGGTATATTATTTTTCTTTTTAATAAAATTATATCAATATCAATACTGATTTTAAACCCTCCTCTGTGTAGCTATTTGGTTAGAGTATCATTTTTTTTTTTTTTTTTTTTGTGGTTGTAAGTGTTGAAATAGGTTTTTGAATGATAATTTAGTCTGTAATCTGGTGGTTATTTTTTGATTGAGTTGTTTTTACCTTTTCAGTTATTGTAGCCCCAAACGGGTTATCTGGTCTTCTCACTGGGTGCTCACCCGATGACCTGGTGACACAATTGTACAAAAGGTAATACTTTGATACTTTGAATTTTCATCTTTATTTTGTGTTCGAATTGCTACTTTCCTGCGTACGATTTAGTCTTCCCATCAAGTTTAGTTCGGGTGTCTTCCCTTATTTTAACGGATTTTTAAATTTAAAGCTCGATAATCGTTCCATTGCAATATCGAGCCTAAAAAGACAGTCCTTGGAAATCACTAGCAGTTCTTCATTGCAGTTCATGTCAACTCTTCAATTGCCAAACCTTCTGACCGTCCGGCGCATCATGCTTCTGGACAATACCAGCTACATAGATGTAACCCCGTATTATACTGGGGAGGACTGCAGATACTGGAATGGCTGGCGTGATACCTGCGTACATTTCCACTCATGCTGATTAGAGTACTATACCTTGCCCCCTGCTGTCACTGTTGCAGCAAGATACAGGCATATGATGCATCATCCCTCCCGTTCCATGTGGTAGGATCTACTTCAGCAACTGGCACGACACCAGTGCAAATGTGTTACGCAGAAGTATTACTGGATCAACTATCGGGCAGCACAAGAGCTACTAGGTCTTCAGCCCCTGAAGTGAGTATTTGTGATAAGCTCCTCTACTTGAGCTCAGACAGACGTTTATTTTGTTGACTTTTTTCCATTAGCACCCTGCACTTTTGCATAAATTTACAGGAGTGGGCTTATTTTTCTTTTTCGACCGTATGAACAGGCCTCAGAGACCAAGTCACATGGAAAAGCTTTTAATTCAGCAGACGGCGGACATGTCTTAATTTACCCATTGGACGCAGTTCTTGCTCCTATGCGGTCAGAAGTGCCCACTCACCCGTTCATCCGAAGGTTTGCATCTTACTTGAACTTTACTGACTTGGGTTCTGTTTTATTTTGGTTCACTCTCTGACAGTTGATGTATATACACAGATGTTGGTTTCAAGATTGGGCCGGCGCAACTTGGCTGGAAGATGGGATGAATGAGCAAGTTCCACCTTTAAACAGGTTTGCGATCTCCTTTATTGTGTGCAACTCTGTGCCCAGCGTTAGATTCTTTCTTTCATCAGCGGTTAGCATGTTTAGGCTGTCGATGCGATGACATTTCTTTGAAAGTTGTTTCTATGTTCATTTTTGCAGCAAGAATGGGCTCGATGGTGGCGAAAGTCGAGAGAAGTCAACTATCACTGAATTTGGCGCCAATGGTTCGGTTCCTGGTCACAGCAGTGGGCCTGGCACTAGCAGCAACAGCAGTGGGGGAAGCACCAGCAGTAGCAGCCAAGGCAGTAGTGGCACTTCCAGCTCAAGCGATGCTGACGGAGATGGTAGGATATTCTGAGCCACATACGTCGAGATGGAACTCTAATTTGACATTGATAAGACAGATGGCGTCAGAAGTGTTGTTCGAACACCGTTGCTGTGAATCTTCTTGTTTTTGTTTGTTCTTTTTTGCATCAACAAATCTATCACTTTTCTTCTATTTCACTTGTCATTGAACTTAATCTTGCTTGCGTAACATCTTGCAAATTTCTACACATTTTTCCTGAAGCAATTTAACTGTTATTGGCACTGACCTTTTTTTATTCAGTATGATTTTCAAATTCTGGTCTACAATATTTAATTTTGCGAGTAATTAACCTGACGATGTAATTTTATGCAGGGCTAGGAGAAATAGAAGCTGATGGAGATTCTTTAGGCAGTAAGGCAGCTGGAGTACTAGCCTCAAAACACGGTCCTTCCACGTCATTGCAGGGGTTGGATATGGATACCAGTGATATGAAAAATTCACTTGGTTATTCTCAGGTTAGACTACGAGACACCAGTAGCTGGATATTCGGATGTGTACTTTTGTAGATAGTATTTAGAAATAAAGGATATTCAGAGTGATTATGGTTGAACCAAAACTTTCAGGTTTTTTTTGAGCTACGCAAGCTCTCTATTATCTTAATGGCTTAGATAGTCCTATGTAGGGACGTAGAATTAATCAGAGGTCAATTAGGAGAGTTTTGACGTAGCAAAAGAACTGAAAGACCTCTAGTTGGAAATGCAGGGCACAAAAAGAGGACGTCAAGTGAAACCAACGGCTGCCTTTGATTTCCCTTCTAAGGCTCTGAAACGCTCAAATAGCATTGGAAATGACGTTCTAGAACTTGTAGATGGGCCAAGTAATGATAAGAAGGGAGCAGGATTTTTGGGAGAGTCAAGTGGATTTGGGGGTGGTATTATGGGAGCTGGAACTCCTAGGGGAGGTGGAAGTCAGTCAGGGAATCCTTGGGATCAGTGGGACAATAATGACACTTTCGGGATGGGCTTAGGCATGGATATACAAAGTGATGCGGACATTCTAGCTGAGTTTGGAGACTTCGGAGACTTCTTTGAGGACGATGGACTTGGATTTGGCGAGGTAAGTACACTACTCAAACTCACAGTAGATGTTATGCATCGGTCTGAAGTGTTGAGAGTTACATGGTGTCAATTGCTTTTGATGTCGTTATATCTTGCTGAAAAGATTTTATGACTGAGCGCTGAAGTAGTGAAATCCAAACATGCTCTTGATTCAGTAATGTGATCTCAATCTATCTGATGATCACACTATTGGTTTTACAGCCCCCCGACACAGCAGAATCACAAGCATTGATGTTTACCCTGCCTGATTATGGAGAAGTCAGTCAGACTCCGGGTACCGCACCTTTGGATGCATCAGATCCACTGGTACTTCCGATTCTTGATTTTCCTATGTTAGGAAAGGATCAAAGTACTGGGGACCTTCTAAGTGAAATGAAGCCAATTACATCAATGGAAGTTTCTCAAGCTCCCATCGGCGTACCTCCATCTCCCACACAACAACCACTTGAGCTTAATCTACGATTGAAGTCTGAAGCCATGCTTTGTTTTGCTTCCGGATTTGAGCCTGTTGACATGACTGGCGTGCCAGACGTAGGAGTGTCTACTTTAAGGTTAGCTTGGTTATGGTTCCTACCTGTTCTTTGCTAGTGATTACTTAAAACTAAAATTTATTTAAATTTTAGTAATGGTGACGCTATAATCGTAGTTTATCTTATGCGTTTGGTTGCATGTACCTTTAACTTGGTTGTGATTCTGTTGTGTTTCTGTATAGTGTGATCATAAGTTGTGAAAGTGTATGGGCTGGTTTGGACTATTGTATTTGGACTAGAGTCTACTATACTTGCATTTTTCACTTGTACTTATCGATGAGCCAATTTTCTCTGCAGGGATCCATATGTACCAGCGTCTAAAAGAAAAGCTGTCGAGTCTGTTCAGAAGGAAACCTATCAGTATTCAGCAACGCCAGTTTCTTATCCTTCGATTGAACGAAAGGATGTAGGGAAGGACGAGCAAGGAAGTACCAAGTCTCCTAATGATTTTGGCGATTCCAAAAAGAAGAAAGAGTTAACCGCTGACTACATTGTTGTCACAGGCTCACATGGATCCAAGCATGTGAACGGCAAGTTGCCTACTACTGATGACAAGGGTCCAGATAGGGCTGCAGGTATGACTCTGCTATCTAATAAGCAGCCAGCGGATATCAGTGGTGGTGGTGGTAATGGGACACAGATCCCAGGAAATTCTCTTGCTGCTCATTCTCCATCCTCATTGAAACATAAAGACGGTAAAAAATCACCAACTCGATCCTCAGTTGCTGTATTAGCAACCGAGTTGGAGTGTGCTCTACTGCAGGTAATGATATGCCGCGCCCAAGATTCTTCGTCATCTAATTCAGGGAACTCAGGTGCAGCAAGTCCAGGAAATGAGGCAGCCAGATACTCTCCGTTGCCGTCCAAAGATAGTGGATCAGAGATTACTCAGGTACAATGCTTACCATCATGATTCTGACTTGTCCTTCTCCATACCCCATCGAATGCTTACCTTTTCAAAATTTATGCCTTGAAGCTGAGTTCGGTATATCTGCGAGGGTATATCATTTTTTGAGACCGTTGCGATCGATCTGATGGAGCTGGGATCGGCATTACCGGGTTTATTGTCGCTATGATTATTATCGTGAATTGAACAATTGCATTGCTTTCTTTCAATTATTAGTAGAGATGTCGTCTTTTGGGATGATCACCACTGATTTCTTATCTGTGGACTTCCAATAGGTACAATCCGACACCTTAGCTCAGTCGACAAGTGGCCTTGGTAAGCCTCACCAAGAGCGGCAGAAGAAAGTGCCAGAGAGAATCGCTGGTTTTGCAGATGATGACATGCAAGATGGTGGAAGCCGAGTTGCACAGGTTGGTGTATGGCGTCCTGTAGGCGTTCCAAATCCTTTGCGTTCATCGAACACCATCTCTTCAAAATATGCAAATGCTGTCGATTTGCCCGTAGGAGTGTCGAATACTTCTCCTATAGACCCGACTATGGATGACGTAATGGGATCTGCCGAAAGACAATGTCAATGGCAGGAAATTCTGGAGGCTGTTCCTCTGCTGGCACAGCAAGCCTCTACAGCAGTAGACGTTTCTTTGGATGGGCAATATGAGGATGGACCATTTGGCTGGCTGGCTGCTCAAGAGGTGCAGAGGCAGCAACGCAAGCGCAGATCAGATTGCAGTCAAGCAGGCGGAGGAGGCATGCTGGCTTCTACGAGGTGTCTTGATCAGTCAGGAATGGAGATACTCGACCCACTATCTGCCGAGATTTCAGCAGCCACAATAGCAAGCCTTCTCCAGTCTGATGTGAGGATGGCAATCTCCAATGCTTTTGGAGATACTGCTGCTGATGGACCCTTAGCTCTTATTGACTGGTGCAAGGGTTGTGTGCAAGGCTCAGATGGCGGACTTTGTGCAGAGAGTACGAATACAGAAGTGAACAGCACTGTCACTGTTGTCGGGGAATCTATGACTCCGTCTCAGTCAGGTGGGGTTTTGAAAGGAGCTGACATTGATGATATAAGACGGAACAGTAGCAGCAGTCGTGCTGTTGATTCGTCATCTCTCTCAGATCAGACTGATCCTTCCCAAAGAAGAGGGCTGAGTGATGATTCAGGGTTTAGTCATGCGGATGCCTTGGGATACAACGAGTCCTCCATACTCGCTATTCCCACACCTTCCTTGCTTGTTGGGTGAGTTTCTCGAGATCTGCTTAGATCTTGTTTGCAACAGCATATGTCTGTATTGTGCATCTACACTCATTGGTTTTGGTTTTATATTTCGTTTTGGCAACTAACGTTTTGAAGAGGTCATTCTGCTGTTTTGATAATGATCATTCTGTTGTTTAGAAGCACATCATAAACTTGATTATTAGATCGACACTTTCCTTTTGTTGAGATTCCAAGTGTACTTCGTGGCAGCTATCAGGAGGACTGGTTGAAGACTTCTTCTAGTGCACTCCATCTCTGGGAAAAGGCTCCTCTCGAACCATATGCACCTTCCAAGCAGGTGATGGATCTTATACATCCTCTGAAAATGGAATCTAAATTTCTTAACTTGAACATGTGTGTACACCTGAGCGAGTTCAGTTGGGTTATTTTATCTATTTGTTCATTTGGTCATCTGATTACTGTATTCTGGATTCAATCAAGATCACTGACGATTATCAATTTTTTCTATTTTGTTATTTTTTCATCTAGGTGAACTATCATGTCATATGTTTGGCTTCAGAACCGCTGGTCACAGCTACGGCGGATTTTTTCCAGCAACTCAGCTCAGGTGTGTTCCCGGTTATTTGTATCAAAACGAAGCTGTTAATCATCTTAGGAAAGAGTGTTGCTAGACGTACAATGAGTTCTTTTATATGAATTTCTTTTCTGGGAAGACTTGTTTGGAACGTGTACAATTTATATCATGTTTGTTCAGTCTGTTGTTCAGAATAGCAACAGAATATGACCTCGTTTTGAATTACACTCGAGGCAAAACTCCTCGAAGTGTATTTTACCGCAATACTTTCTTCTACCTTTCTAGCAGGTTCTACTTCAACTTACATGTATTTGACAACAAAGCACTGTGTGTTTGGATTGATTTTGAATGCAGTGTATGAAGTGTGTCGGCTGGGATCTCATATGCCGGTTGGTACAGCTGCTGGGCAATCCGGCTCCATCGCAAGTTCTAGCAAACAGGCGCTGTCTGGCTTTTCTCTTGTGGATATATCTGGTGTATCACACTCGACAGCTCGTCGGGAATACTTTACTGCGTCTAATTATAGCTTGGCTAAGGCTTTTGTAGCTGATATGACTGCGAATTGGAATATGGCTGAATATAGGAAGGCTCTCAAGAAAGCTTGTAAGGCATTGCCCATCTCATCTGGGTCTTCTGTAAGTCAGAGGGAGCCAGAGCAAGGTCCTTGCACGGTGAGAATTTTATCATGTGAATCTACTACATTTTTGCCTTTCTTTGTCTGCCCACTGAGTGTGACCTTGTTGGATATGTTTTCATTGCTGCAGCTCCATAAAGTTTTCTGAATTTATTTCTTCTTCTAATTGTTGGTTGAACTGTTAAGGTGAAGCTATCTAGCGATATTCTCTAGCTCTCCTCTAATGTGTGTCGGTGCAAACTTTTGTTGTAATTTATTTTCAGGTTGTTTATGTAGTGTGTCCTGTTTCGGACCCTGCTGGGATACTTCAAATCATGGTTGATGCTTGCACAAGCTTAGGCTCTGGAATAACAGGTGCAGATTCTCAACGTCATGGACCATCGACACCAGGAGAGGATGCCATGTCCTCAAACATTTTAGGATTTTCAATACCTCGGTTTGCTTTACAGTTGGTCACCGCTGAAACTATTTTCAAGAATAGTGGGCCCCAAGCCTCCTCTGTAGATGTTTTAAAAGAAGTTGCATTGGGTGTGTATAATAAAGTTCGTCGTATTCCACGTCGCTCTCAAAGGACCGAGGGTCTGCAGAATGCTGGAGCTGCTGGCTCACGTGGACAGGGAGGCAATATTGGAAATCCTTCGGGAATTCAATCAAATGCGTCCATGCCTGGTCTTTGGAAGGATTGTAGCGGACAGCGAAGTAGTGGGAATCCTACAATGGCTACAGTGAATTCCAGTAACAACCACAACATGTGGGAGAACAGCTGGAAACAATCAATCCAGACAGATCTAGGTATTTGCCTGCTCTAGATGCACTTTTCTGCTCTTCGTTGAATTCTTGTGTAAATAGTGCCGACTGTGACAAAAGATTTAAAAGTCTTACAGTATGTTCGCTTTGATCTCGTATACTTTCGAGTTTCTCGTATTTATTGCTGAAAAGTTGCATAGTGAGACGATAGGGACCAGCAGGAAATGAAGAATCTTTTGCGGTTGTTAAACATGTTATTTTTGTGCTACCAGGTACCGCAAGCAATGAAATAACTGAAGAAAAAATAAGGTATATGTACGAGCCTGCATACATCCTTGCCAGAAGCGGCGCACAAGCTCCAGCTAGAACTTTGTCATGTGACGCTACCCGTGATGCTGTTGCTGTTAGCAGCCACAGAACTTCTGCCGCTGCTAGCAGTGGACCTGATGTGGATTCCACTGCAACTACTGAAAGATTAGATGGTGATGCAAGCAGCGCTGCCCAACAGGCTGCTGACCTTTACTGTTGTTATACTTGGTCGGAAGATTGGAATTGGTTGGTGTCTGTATGGACCGATGCTAGAGGAGAACTGTTGGATACACTATTGCTGCCTTTGACTGGAATAGATACCACAAGAGAGAATTGTCTGCGGTTGTTGTTTGATCAGATTCTACAGCAAGGTCTTCAATTGTTAAATTTGGCAGTAGAAGCAGGCAGCTGTAGGTCTCGGGGGCTAAATATTACCCGCCTTGGTGGATTCTATGTGAGAGAATGTCAAGGTATGGAGTTGGACGCATTATTACCTTCTGTTTTGGAGTTGAGAAGATATTTCTTGTATCGAGTTGATTTTTATTTGTGCTAGCTGCTTGTGCATACTTCCCAATTCATCTGATTAGTTTGTTGTGTTCGATAATCAATTGCAGAATGGCACCGGGTCATAATACTAGCAGGAGCTGATGAAATGCGGAAGTGGCCGGTACAGATACGACACCCGGATTGCTATTCTTCCAACAGCGTGGGAGGGACGGGAAGCTCATCTGACATTGGGTTGATGACTGACAGAGGACTGGGACTGGCTGGTAGTGGGCCAACATCACCTAGCCCGTCGTCCTCTTCATTTGGTGGACGCGGAAAGCCTTCTCATTACAGCAAATCTGGAGCAGAGATGAGTTCAGGAATGAACAGACTGCAGAACCAAGCTACGAATCAGATGGCAGCGACAGAACCCAATAGCGGAGGCTTTAAGTGGGTACACAGCATAAGCTTGGTTTCTGTGCGCGTGGATCAGAGCCTTCAGATTGTCTCTACTACTGATGGTAGGGCTCTTTATTAACTTGGTTCCTTCACCATCTTCAATTTCTTGGTCACTCTTCCTTAAAACCGTTACGATTGCTACTTAGCGCCTTGTGACATTTTGGCGAATTGCTTATTTTGATATATGTGAAGAAGAAAATTCAAATAAATATGCGTATAATTGAATTTTTATTTAACGATTTTATATGTGCAGGACCTCCTGAGGGAAACTCTTCATCAGGACCATCGTGGCCAGCAGGCTCCGGCTCCGCCTCAAGTGGAGTGGTGAGCATGGGTGTAAATGCAGTGAAAACTTTAGCCTTAACAGGGGCATCGTATCTGGTGGTTCCTTCTCATGTGAACCGACCCCTATCTTCCTCTTCACTAGAGCTTCTGCTTGAAACTCCGTACTCTGAGCAATCCCCTTTGGCACAGCTACTCCAGAGCAGCGGAGTGGCATTTCCGGTTTCCACCGCGTATGCAGTTTCTGCAGGTACAAGCTCTACTATCAATGACTTCGCCCAAAAAGGCATGAAGGAGGATTGGCCTTCAACCATGAGCGTGGGGTTGGTGGCCCATTACGGTACCTCCTCTAGGCTGGGCACTCCAGTCCAAGACTCTGCTGGTGTCGCCATGTCCAAATCTTTCAAGTCGACGGTGGTGGAATCCAAGGAGCAAGCTCTGGAAGTACATCGAGTTCTGCAAGCTGTGGCTTCGGATTTGCATGCTTTGTCTTGGCTCAATGTGGGCCTTACTTACGTAAAGCGTAGATCCCCGCTTCCCTTTCACTGTGAGGTTGCTCAGCGCTCTCAGCGCTTGCTCGACTTCTTAGATGCTGAGCACAGACATGGGGTAACAAATATGTCATAGGGGTTTACGTAGTTATTTAACAGGGGTTAGGGTTGCTTGTGCTGTTGTGGAGTTGTTCTGCTCTTCCAGTTCATCACTATTCTTTTCTCAACTGAGAAGTTGAGGTTGTGTATTTTGTTGTATTCCGAGGTTTATGAAGAGATATTGCCACCCATAGGATTCTCGCTTCTTTTTAAATTATAACTTTCAATATATTAAATAGTGTTCGGCATTGCATCTACAGATAGGATTCATACTAAGGAAAACTTTTCAAAGAATTTGGAGGGTGGCTACACTTATCTTTGAACATGTGTTAATTGCAAGGTATCAAATACCAAAAGACGTAATTCCTGTAATTGTTTCTACTCTGCCCAAGTACAAGGGAAGCGGCAATATGGTATTTAATTCTGCAATTTTTGAATTGTGATTGTATTACATTCTAGAGGAGCAGCATTTCAATTGCAAGGTATGGGAGGGGCAAATTGTGCAATTTTTGACCAAGTTTGTATTGTATTTGGTGATCAAGTATAAGGGAAGCAATAGTTTTGTAGTTTGATTGCAAAGCAATGTGGCATTCGTCAAAGAATGAGTAAAGGAGCATGGGAGCAAGAATAGGGTGGCATTTTGTGTTTGCATGTTGTTATCAAAAGTATAGAAGGAGCAAGTAATAAATTGTCAAGTTGGAGTGAGCAACTAGGACTTAGTTTTAATAGTGGCAAATACGATCAATATAGTAGCAAAAGTGAATAAAACTCTCTTGTTGAGATTCAAGTTGACAATTATGAAGCTCTTGAGATTTTACATTTGCAGACCAAGAGAATTTTTTGGGGTGGTGAAGTTGGTAGAAGAGTAAGGAGAGACAGGAGAAGTCTTAGCATACATGATCAAAGCAATGTGGTTCTTAGTGGATGCAAGGGAGGCCATCAAGGCAGGAAAAGAGATAAGTCATCTGGAATTGTGGATAGAAAGAAGATGAGGATAGAGAGCAAGATGTAACTCTTCAAAAATGCCAACATAGAAGACATTACATGCACTCAAACAACATTATGACATGTTAGCACGCAGCAATTGCAACCACAACCATTAAGGCAACAATGGAGTACTATTGTCAAGGTAAGAAGAAATTCTTTACAAAGTGATCAGCAAATAAGAACAGCCTTAGCTAAGCAATAGGTGGATGCAAGCATCAAGCAAGGAGCAATAAATCATGATATTCCATGCACAACTTTGAAAGAGTGGTGTTATAGAGTGTAAACATCCAAAAAGAGGATAATCCAAGAAGTGCTAGGTGTAGAGGAAGAGAACTTGTGAAGTACATTCTAACTATGTGCAATAGGAGCATAGATCCAACTCCTATAGCTTTGAAAATGAAGGTTTTTGAAATAGCTAGGACTCAATGTACTTTGTTCAAAAACAAGATTTTGGATGATGGATGGTTGAAGTGGTTTAAAAACTACCACTCGGAGCTCACAATGAAGGTAGTATAAGTCCTTACATCTTTTAGGACAAAGGTACTATGCAAAAAAAAATGTGTAGAGCTTTTATGATAATTTAAGTAAGTTGTATACCTTGCACAAATATCTTCCAGATAAGATGAACTATGACAAGTTTGGTGTACAAGCACAAAGAAAAATTGGTGCACTTCTCATAGCTCAAAGATGTACTCATTAGATACATTTTGTCATTCCAAATCAAATAGAATGGCTATTAATGTTGATATGCATTAACATAGTAAGATCAAACATATTATCTCATATTTTTAATAGGAAAACGTTTTTGACAAAATTACATAGAGCAATGTAAGCCAAGTGCAACCATAGCAATGCAATCCAAGGCTTAGATGATCAATTATTTATTCTTTGCGTAGATTTCTCACTTTATTAAGAGTATCGGATGACTTGGTGGCATTTTTCCTATCTAAATACCTATCTTGATCCTTAATAGATATGCAAGCCACATTATTATTGACATGACAAAATTAATACAAGATACAAGACTAGAGATTCTAATCCTACCATCACATATATCCCATATCATACAACTTCTAGATAGATATATATTTGGACCATTTAAGACCTATTTCAAGGAGTACTAAGATTATTGGATATCTAAAATCCTGAATTAGCATGTACACAAATAAATTCTTATCCATTGGATGTTGTTGAGCTTGAGACATACTTTGACAATGAATAATAATATCAAAGGTTTCAACTCTACCAAAATCTTCTTGCTAGACAAAACAATAATAGACAATAATATTAGCCCAAGAAAAATATACATACAATATGCAAAAGAAGTTGGAGAAGGTGAAAACAACATAGTTGGAAATTCTACAGAGAATGAAGGTGGCAGTATGAGGTTGGTTGGTGAAGATAGACTTGTCTTGTTGCTTGATCATAGTCAACTTGGAACAAGCTCCAAGTTCCACCACCATTTTTATTTATTTATTATTGAAAACATGATTAATAAGGAATTAGCACAAAAGGTTGGCAAATTAGATCCTGCCTACTATAATCTTAAATCTATAACACTCTTTCCTAACTTTACCCACCATCATAGAAAGGTCCAACCTAAGTAGATGCAATGTAGATCTTATAGTGGATTTCTTTATATCACTAACACTAACTTTGGAGGCATGAATGAGATTTTTGCAATAAATTTAGAAGCAAATTCTTGAATTGAAAAGGGAGAAAAAAATACATATATAAATTTAATAAGAACAGTAAAAAATTAAAAAAATAAAAAATAAAAAAGATTGGTGGATGGAGAGAAAATGAGGATTTAAAAAGAAGCTCACCAATGCAATGTGGTAGAAAAGCACATCCATAATGGTATAAAGTAGGAGGCTATGGCAAAAGAACAAATCCGCAAGATGCAGGAATAAGAAGCCACACATGAAGCCACAAGTGAAGTCACATCACCAAGCTCTACAAGCACAGTGACAAGTATTGCAAGCTGCAAAAAACATTGCAACTACTTAGCGCCTTGACTTAAGTATGGAATGCAAAGTAAGGACACAATTTGCGGCCTCTTTTGAGAATGCACCTTTGTCAAATTCAAGTTCAAGACAACATGTGCTCTTGCCATGCATTGATCTACAACATGCACTCTTATCATGGCCATGTACTAATCCAACATAGGGCTTGTAGCCAAGCACTTCATTGCAACCTCTAGCATGCAACTTGCAGTAGTACAACATTCACTTTTTGTTTGAAAGTCTGTTTGAGAATTACATCACTCCTATATAGTCCATGCTGCAATCATAGCAATTGACCATCCACCCAAACCTCATATAGTTACAATACATTTTAATACCATTCTTGTGGCCTATGTAAGCCAATGTCAAAGAGAGATTTGAAGGGGGTTGTTGGAGCAGGACCGAAAGATAGAAGATATGTGAGCTAGAGTTTAGAGGTGAGCAGAAACAGTAAAATTTGATTGTGAAAATCTCACTTGAAAATGGTAGATTACTTACAACCTGATGTTTGAATTCCAATTGCCTCATCAACACATTATCATCTGTAGATAGCACAGAATTTGGTGTAGCTTGAAAGCATAATCAAATGCCATGAAAATAAGTATTTTTGATTTTGTAACCAACCACTGGTTGGAATTAGGTTGGTCAAATTTGTGTTAGATTTGATGTCAGCCTTATGTCAAATAGAATCTTCAACTAAAACAGTAGTAGTAATTTTGTTTTTAGACAAAATCACATAAAACACCAAGAATCCTCCTCATTTCTATTTTGTTTAAAAAATAAAAACACAGGGATTTTTTTAATTTTTTTTTATTACTATAATGCTCAAGTTATCGGAAATGGGATGGCTACCTTGTAGACTGAAATTTGAACGATAGACTAAGGGTGGCTGATCTGAAAGCGCTAAGTCTACTGCATAGTAGTCATTTCCCTACATAAATCAGATATGTTTTTGATATAATGGGCTCATCTTTGATGTTGTACTCGTTTTTAGAACATTTCTTTTTTAACCTGTTGACTTGCAACTAGGCATGGCAACATCCAACCCACATACACCACAGTAAAACTATCACATTTAATAAGGATCAATAAAAAGAACGTAACGGAGAATCCATTAGACTTCGGAGACGTCCACACCAACAGAGTGCTCGTTTTCTCCATCCGTGAGCATGTGGGTGTTCAGTAAAGCCACATCTAACACCCACAACTGGACATTGGGAATTGAAAATTTCATCACCAGAACCAAATATCATTTGAAATGAATCTGGAGTAAGTTCCGTGAAAATGAGATGATATCCAAACGACTAAAGGATTTTTTTACTTTGATCTATCCCTACTACTCACTGATGTGATGAAAATGTTGGCATGTGCCTGCGTTCTACCTACAAATTTTTCAGCCCTTTTTCCACCTAGATGTGAGGATTATCAGGGGCCATTACAAAAATCTAGAAAGATTTCTCATCTCTTTCCCATTTCCACCTGTGAGGTAATAAAGCCTGATCACTTCTGCATCCCCTGGCTCTTCAACAGTTAATTTTCGACTGCAACCCCAGTGCATCAATACCATCAGTCAAACCATAACCCATATAACAAATTGAACAGATAAACTAAGTGCCAGGTTCAACAAAAGAATTTACACGCACTCCAAAAGTTTATGTAAAATGTCCCAATTTCGTGAACCCCTATCAGAACCCCAAGGGCAAACCAGGAGTACGCAAACAACATGGGTGTAATACAAACCTGTGGTAGTACTGAAGAGCAGAATTGGCCTCAACAGGGCTGTATCGAGCAAAGTTGTACCGGGCCCCTTTGGGAATATCCGGTAACTGTAAGGGAAGCTTTCCCACAGCGTTTGAATGAGAAAATGCTGTAACCATCATTTCCTTTGATCCTTTCATTGGTCGAAAAGCACGAACCTGTCACAGCAATAAATGGGACGGTGTAATCGGGCATGATTCAACAAATTTGAAATATCAATCTATTAACTTATCAACATAAACAATGTTCGCCCGCATTGGTCTAGTAAGCAATTAACATGCGAAGTATCTACAAGTAGCATGGAAATGTACCATTTCAAGTTGATGGGCGTGTATGGGTTTCTTGGCTTTCACTCCATATTCGCTGAAGACAAACCAACTGTTGTACTGAAGAACCAAATAACAAAAGGAAGCCATCAATTCCTGGCTGAAGGAGTTGAGTTCGACATATTTGTACGAGTCAATTACTTCACTGCCTCTCCGAACCACACCGGCTTTTTCAATTTCAGAGAAATAAATAGAAAAAGGACGGTCCAAAAAAGAGGATACCGTTGACAAGAAAATGAACAAAACAAGTGATACATGCACTGAGATTGACGACAGATCTTTATGACGTGCAATACTTAGAGCTAGACAAGAATTACTTACATCGTCAATTGCAATTAAAACAGGGACATCTTTAACAAGAGAGAGTTCTTTCCGCAGCCTGACGACAGCGCCTACTCCTGCATGAGACATTGATAGTCCTTTTTCCACCAATTGTTTCAATGTTGCTCCTTCAGGTAAAGTAAATTCCTGCGGACCCCGGACGCGAGGCACTCCAGCTCCTTCTCCAAGAGGTACTGGGTCGGAAATGTTGCATGGCAAAGTATCCAAAAGTTCTGAGTGGCTCTTGAGAAATCCCTACATCAATAAAGCTCATATATATGAAAACCACACACTTCTGCACCTCCGCCTATATCAAGAAAAGAAAAAGAAACACAAACACACACACACACACACACACACTTGATGTTTATTCTTTCTTTCAATCTTACTTCTGTATTATTTCCTTGAAACAATGAGATCAAAGCACGATGGATCTTCCATAATGTACCCATAATGTACGAGACAGAAACAGTATTACAGAGCTTGCAGCAGTAACAGTTCCAAATTAGGTTCCGGCAAACTTCAGCTTCTTATCAATTACCAGTAGCACACGCCAAGTTTTACAACCAGCAGAAAAGTCAAGTCTTACAGAAGAAGCTATTGATGGTACTCCAGCATACCTCCAAAGCCATCTGAGCCGTCTGCGGAGTCTCTACAAGGCCTGTTTCTTCATTCCTATAGTACAGACTTCCGTGGGTCCACCCCTTCCCACTGGGAATGTAGAATACAAGCCATCCTCGAGCACGAGCCCATTGCACAAGCATTGCCAAGGCAACACTCTTCCCACTTCCTGTTGGTCCGTCTAATAAAATATGTTTCCTGGGCTTTGTAGCTGCCCGGCATATGTTCCTCAATCAGTCATATGATGGACATCTTACTGATTTAATCAAGTCAATCCCTACAAACTAAGCCACAGAAGCAGGCACCAGCCATGGACGTCCTAGAACTTGAAACACATAATCCAAGACATGCTAAGATGGACTACTGTGATACTTACCATCTGCATCCTCAGCAAGTAGCTGGAAACAATCCTTTCCTGTGGCGTGTCTCTCCAAAAAATTGCATAATTGTAACACGTTTGGACGTATCATCAAAGAATTTGCTTTTGTAGCTTCAAATTCCTTAACTAAACCTCCGGGTAAACCCTCTCCAAAATACTTCGACAGGTCTTCTTCACTGAAAACATGAGAACAAAACAAGGTTAGGTAGCATGTGTAATGTCCTTGTCCATCTCCTGGTCATTTGAAAGAACGTCAACGAATATGCACCGCTTACTGCGATGAAAAGCGAAAATCGGTATCTAAAACTTCACCAAATGAACACAATCACCTAAAACATTGCTATACAGGTACATCCCAGGTCTACAGCGCATTGGGGCAATATTAAGAAGGACCGATTCAAGGTCATCAAAGGGAGGAGACTAAGCTGAAGGGACTCAGACAGTTAGCAGGATCCACATAGTTTTCACAATTCGAGACTAAGGGGCATTAAATTCATCCAAGATTTCCCTTGCGTCTCATTGGTTGCACATCGACTGCACACGTATATCCGGAGACTTAGGATCTTAGTCCAACAAGTCAGCAGAGTTCCAGAACAAGTGCCTACGTAAAATGAAATGCAATATATAATGCTTCATTTTACCTGAAATTGATGTACTTCAGGACATCATCGCCAGTGACATCCACCAGACTAGAAGCAGAGGAAAACAACGACGAAACATCTTCCAACTGACTATCTTCCCCAACACTAATTCCACCTTCACCTCCGATTTTATTAAGGCCGTCGCCTCCTCCCACGGATGCCACAGCTGAAAATCTCCTGACTCCCAAAGTAGACAATTGACCAGCTGGAGCCGCAAATCCTGAGGTTCCCTCTACCCATCGCGCAGCACTAGAGATACTATTACGACTAACACCTCTTTCACAAAGATTCACGACTATTTGCATCAACTCCGGCTTTGGCTTCAAATCTGAGGAAGCCCGCTCCACCGCACTGGAAGAAAATGGCGAGGAAACCACGGCACAATTGACAGCATTCCCTGATTCATCCAAACCCTGCACTCGACAAGCCCCGGAAGAAGCACTGCTGGAGGATACGAGCAAGCGAGACACACCCGATCGCGACAATCTCTTCGCTAAAGCTGCCATTGCGCCCAATTCTACACTTCCTGTAAAAGATTTTTTTTTCGTTAAACCCCTGTCAGGAGGTTTAGAGCATTTTCTCGCACCGCTCCAGCTTCTAAGATCCCCTCTCCCCAACTGCCTTCACGGCTTCGACACCAAAACCCCAGACAGCTACGGCCTCGTAGGGTTTTAGGGTTTCCTGTCCATGGTTCGCTTCTTCCCATAGCTTCCCTTTGGATACCTCACCAATACTATGGCCAACAGACTACATGATACAGGGTATAAACATCTGAGGGTTGCCAATGTCAAGGGGGGTGCAATGGGGCATCAACGGTTATCGATTAGTGGTGTAAATTGACGTATGTAAGTACAATGTATATTTTGTATGGTATTATATGCTATTCGTACGATATTATCAACTCAGCATCCACTCTTTTGTTCGGTATTGTATTGCATGTTGTAAGATATTTAAAGGTAGTTGGTAGGAAACATTGAAACACGACTTGGGGATTCAATATTTTGAGATAGTTTGACATTTAGAATCAAGTGTTTTTTTATACCATTGTCTAGACAGAAATAAAGGGAATGTATTCGGGAGGCATGTTTCATATATCTGAATAAATTCGTAGTTATCTTTTTGGAAAAGAAATTGAAATAATAAATAATGAAAACACATCCACATTTGTTTGTGTGTGTGTGTGTGTGTATATATATATATATATATATATACAAGCATATACATTGCTAAAAACAAAATGTGTGATTTAAATACCAAAAATATATTTGTGGGTTTTTTTTAGTCTCAATTCTTTCTGTTTCAACCACAACTATTACTAAAAACTCGAATTGAATTTTAACTAATAGATATCTAACCAGTTGTCTCATGATTGAGGGACTCAAGTTTCAACAAAGTATTAAAAAACGTCGGAACTATTATACCCTTAATTTGACAATGAATATGAAAAGAAATGTAAAATGTTCATACACTGTTGGAAAGAATAATCATTATGTTTTTAAACCAAATAAAATTACATATATATGTATAAAGTAAATGCATTGAAATTTGAGGGAAAAAATAGTGGGATTTTATTATTATTATTCTTAACAAACAATCTTTCTATGCGTGCACGTTTCAACTACAATTGTGAACTTATTTAATGATTTATAACAAATATATATATATATATATATATATATATATATATATATTATCTGTTTGTTTAATTTTGAGTATTTGTTAAACGAACAAAAGAGAAGAATATATGTCCTTTACTACAACTTCAATTTGTAGAATGGCCTCTTTATGATTTTCAAAATAGAAGGATACTTTTTCAAATCAGGTACATGTATTTAACAAAGATATTTTTTCTATTTATTAAAAATAAAATATTATTTAAATAATTTTGGTAAACATATTCTTCAACAAATTAACTAGAGTATTGCTTATGCTACCACAATTTTGGTTACTGCTTTCACAATGTGCCATGCACTGAACATATTTATTTTGTATTTTTTTATTTAAAAAATTTTAGTTCAATAAATTATATCAAATTACATAGAAATTAATTTTAATTCAAACTATAAAAGAATAAAAAATAAGCATGCACACATAATAATAATAATAATAATAATATATTATTGTAATCCTTATTCCGATACATGCCTTAGAATTTGAAATTTTGCCCTACATGAGAAATTCACAAATCAATGTGTGGTGGATGATTTCAAAATTTTGAAGCTGATAAGTGGCTGGATATCATATGTTTACGAATACATGTTCCCAAATAGTATGCCTCATTATTTTTTTAAAATTTTTATATAATTTCTGTTCATTTTTTCTTGGTTTAATTTTTTATTCTATAATTGACAAAGAATTTTAAAAAATACCAAATCCTTCAAATTTGGTATGATTATGATAAAAAGTTTAATCATTTTTTGAAATTTATCTTGCAACTGAAAAGCCTTTAGCAATTAAATAAGCACATCATATAGGAAGGTACGCACATGACATGTTACAGAGAAATATAAGGCTCCTATGTCCCCAGGAATGATTCCATATTCAGATGCTTTAAAGTCAAAGAAAACAAAAAAGTAACTTTAAAGAGGATAAGTTGCCACCTTGGCGCCGCAGTTTAGACATTGGATGTATCGCCGTCCATCGCAACCAGTAAAATCCCTCCGCGTGGACGCGGCTTTGGGTGTCCAGCGGGAATCTACCGAGGATGCCTGTAGCACATGCCCTGATTCCGTGAGCCGAACCTCAGCCTCGGTAACGAGGCTACAGGCGCGGGAAATGTACCGCTAGGGGACGACACAGCGTGGCCATTCTTCCCTTACATTCTTCATTCTTCCTCTTCGCCGTCGTCTCGCCGATCGTCCCTCATATCGTCGCGATCTGCCGGAATTCCCACGAACGCACGCATCGAACATCCGTTGCAGCCTCTCGCATCCTTCCTTTCACTCAGTTTCTGTTGCTGATCTGCTGCACTCTCTCATTGATGAACACTGCACTGCGCCATGAAGTTCCTGGAGTACACCCCGCTTGCCCGGTACCGCCATGCCCCTTCTCCCTTTGCCTTTCGATGTAATTCCTGTCTCAAAAGAAGGGCGAATTTGATCTCGTCTTTGGTTTAGATTTAGTCTCATGCCGGAAGATTTTTGGTCTAAGTGTCCTTGCCTCGTGTCCTTTGTGCCATGGAATCCCTACGTTGGCAGAATAAATGCGTTTCTGTCTCATGTCGACGTGGGAGGCTGCATGATTCAAGGTGGCTTGGAGGCGTACTCTTGTAAGATTTTCCGTTCCATCCACTGTCTAGATTTAGTTATATGATATGTGTGTATGTGTGTATATATATATATATATATATATATATATATATATATATTGAAATTTGATGAAGGAAAAACCAGCGTTTAGCGTTCTTTGTCGTGGTAAGCATTCTCACCTCAGCAGCTGGTTCTGCAGGCAAGATTGCAGGAGTTGATAAGAAGCTGTCAAGGAGTTTGGAGCAAGAGGTTGGTGTTCAATGCTGCTGTTGTCTTATTATTAAATATTTGGTGTTACTTTTTCAGCAAGCTCTAGATATTTTTACGAGCCTCGTTTATCATCATTCGACAAGACGAATGGTTTTATCGAATTGTTGTCTTTAGTAGTCTCAATCTTAGTAGTGAATGATATGAGCTTCCACTATTACTGTTTTTTACGACAAGCTGTAGTGATTATGTCTTGATTATCTAACTCGTGTAAGGGACGTTTTTCAGGTGGTGGATTCTTTGGCATATTCGCCCTTGGACCTCTCTACCTCGCCAGTTGGGCCCCTCTCTAACACGGCAAGGTACTGAACTTCTTCATCATGAACGACCTCAAACTTTGGTTTTGACTTTTACAACGGAAATTCGTGTGTTGATATACAACTTCAATCAGGTCATTCTTGCATCTGCGCGCTTTCAGCATTACCTGTGAGAGCTGCCGGGTGTCTTTCGTTTTTTAGGATTCCTTGGGAACAGTGTGTGGTGCTACGGCTCAGCTTGCACAATTTCATTAATTTGAGCTATTGTTTCGTGGAAAATATTAGGTAGTTGTTGTCAGTGTTCTTAGTCGGGCGTTGAAGAGGTATGTAAACACATATGGAGTAGGAATTAATTCTATTTTAAATTTTAGTTTGTTGCCTGTTTATTCGCTATTTCTTTTGGGTAATCTGCTTTTATTTTTGACGTCATGTGGTTCATGGAAGCAAGAGCACCTCTTTCTATTGGGCTTAACGAACTTAGTCTCTATTTATTTCATTTGTTTTGATTATAAAATCATTATCATTATTAGAATATTTTATGAGAATGGGAATGTTCACCCCTTTCTTCATCTGTTTCCAGTCGCAGGACACTGATTTATCTGATTCTGACCTTGAATCATATGTATCCTGATTACGATTTCAGGTAACAACATCATTCAATGCTATATTTATCTCTATGCTCTTATTCTTTACAATCTCTCTAAGGTCGTCGGAGCGGACTTGGGTTATTCTGGCTCTTGCGTACTTGTTCTTTTGGTCTAGTTTAGGTTTTCTTGGGTACTGCTGGTGTGCACCTCACCGGCAACCCACTCTGTTGAAAGGAATTAGGAAGTGATGTCAATGGTTGACAAGCGGTTTGAAGCCGTTGCTCCTTAAGGAGCTGAGAGTTCAAGTCTCTCCATTTCCTATTACTTCCTATATGTAGTTTGTTTAGAAGGTGCAACGATCAATATGTTCACATTAGAAAGGTTAGAAAATTAATTATACTAACAATTTGATATGCTCATGTCCATATACTCACCAGTATGTTGCGACCCCACCACTTTACCAAAGAACATGGACTTCTTGCCGCAAAGCAAAAGATTGACGTATCTTTGGTTGAGGCATCCAAGGTAAAACATTAATTGTCTCATCATTTATCGTCGTATCCAGATTTTATTACTGTTCCTGGTGGATTGCACGGTGGTCTTTTTAGAATCAACAGATGAACTGCTACGTCTATTCATAGTGGTTTTTATCCATTTTATGCAGCATGATTGCTGTTACATAATCATACGAGTTGACCTGACGTTTGCCCAAAATTAATATGTTTTTGAAGTTCTCAAAATTTAACAAATCATATGTAAATTACATGCTCTATTCAATGCTTCCTGTGACTGGTCAGTGGATGGACTGTCTTCTTGTTACTGGAATTTGACGCTTTTCGACCAGTAGATTTTTTTAACCCTGTTCTAATCGCAGTTCTGGTCTGCGGAAGCTGCTGAAGAAACAACATTGATGGACAGCATATGGAATGCCATTGATGAGGTAAGTGGATCACCGATTGTAGCTTGTCCACTACCACAAGATCGAAGCCGTGTGACTTACTAGGCGTGTTCTTTGGGATCCAAGTTGGTTTTATAATAATTTTACCGTCGCTTATCTGACCTACTGAGAGCTACTATTGATCTCTTTATTTTCGCTTTACTTTATTTTATCCATGGAGTGTTCACCACTCTATTTCAGGGTCTAAAATATGTCCACCACAAAGCGTTTGAATCTGACAAGGGTTTTTAGTCTTCTGAAGGTAGCACGGCCATGCTTCGGGATACTAGGCATCCAGTCGTGTTGGAGTTTGTTGTGTTGGAAGGGAATGCAATTGGATGCTTGAGTTACAATGATGGGGTGATAGTAGTTCGGCGAAAGTGATCGTCTAGGTTTCAATGCTGAAGGCCGTGCCAGTTGGCAATACTAATAATTCGCGAGTGCAGTTTAGCAACGATGCAGGTTAATCAGTGTGGTTTTTTCACAAGCAAGCTCTCGTTTGTGTATGGTTTCAATATGTTCAGATATGTACCTTCATGTACCTTTTGATTTAATGTGTTCCTCTTCCAGCAGGTGATGAGCTTGGAGGATTGTGAGGTATACAGTTACTCTCCTGATGCTGAAGGGGATCCTTTTGCTGATACTGGCAGCATGTGAGTGCTAGATTGTAAGCATGCGTGTCGTTAAATAAATAGAATTTCTGGAATCCTGCCCTTGAAGCTGCATGAAATCTTGTCTGTTTTTAGTTGAATGTACTTTAGTAAAGATCACAGATGACGCTGTGGTTTTAGGCAATCATGCGTTTCGGACGTTGGTATTATCTTCAGATTTTAGTTTCTTTGTTGAAGGTTGTCAAACGGATCTACTTTATTGATGAATTGTTTTGCTCAATTCGAAAACATTCGACCCGATTACACGACTTCAGGATTTGGGTTCAGATATTTTGTATTGAAATTGCACGTTGATGCCGAATGCATGTGCGTGCCTGTAGATGGTCTTTTAACTATTTCTTCTACAACAAGAAACAGAAGCGCATTCTCTACTTCAGTTCTCGATGCATAAGGTAAGCTTTCATTTATTTTGCATTACTTAGTTTGATTAGTTTAGAACAACGAAAGAAGTGCCATCTGTTCCTGAACTATTTGTTTTTTGTCAACGATTTTTCAAAAAGCTTTCATGTAACATTTCACAAGCTGATTGAACCGAAAGCAGTATAAGGAATGTCTTTGAGTTGAGGATTGATTTTTTGAGGTAACATGTGATTGATGATTGCAGCAAGTTATCTATGGATACAGCTTCTAGCGATGATGGGTCTGGCGAGTGGGACTCGGACTTTGTAGATGGCATGGATCTTGAAGGTTAAGATTGAATCCGCCTTGTGTTGATACGTATTATATTTTGTTTGTATAGCCTGTAAATAGCAAATGGAAGTTAATGGTGGATGTGAAAGCATTCTAGTGTACTTTAACAATCAGCTTAGAAGTAATGTGTACAACCATGCTTTGTATGACCATTTTATTTACAGCACTGTTCAGTGTACGTTGGTAAATATTTACATCACTTCGGATAAGAGTACCATGGGGATTAGTATCCGTGCTTGAAGATATTCATTTGAAACCTTAGGAACTACCGTAGGTGTTTTGTCTGTAATTATATGATACTTCAGACATGCAAGGAAATGTTTTTATGTTTGGATTTCAACGATGGAGTAAATTCGTAACAGCCAATGGACATGAGAACAAATGAACCGAACCTGAGTGCATCAACATGAAAACGAGAATCATTGGAATTTGAAGTGACGAAAAGTTGAAAAACTGAAGAAACTAGAATGTAGAATCACTTCGATTTTTCATCCTAAAATTTAGTTGAGGACGTAGTTTGATTTGCATTTATCAGTATTGTGTAGTGCGTTTTGGAAATTGATATTTTCACCCAAAGTTTTACTATTTTCATTTAGCATTGTATTACGCTCATTACATCATTGTTGTTGCGGTGGTTTTGCTTTGATCAATATTCCAATGGAACGGCCTTCTCTTTTTGATGTCAATGGATCAACATTCTAGGGATGTTTTTTTTGGCAGTAAAGATGAATGCCTATGCCCCCACTAAAACTCCCTATGCAGCGGTCTTCAGTCTTAAGACTATATATATATATATATGTTTCCAAAATATGCAAGTGAGGTTGTTGAAATGCAAAATTGCCTTTGAACATGTCACAAAACTACAGCAATAATGGTGTGGTATGTGCAGCACAATGTTAGGAGGGAATAATGTTAGGTAGAAATATCAATTCTCTTTTAATTGTACAATGTATTGTTAATGTAGAGCAAAGTTGATTTGTTTTTTTAAATTAAAATTTTAAACTTTATATGAAAATTTAAAAATCGTTTGAAGTGTTGTAATATTTTAATATATTTTCATTTTTTCATTAAAAAAATAATACAAGATTCAAATGCTATGGTAGTTAACAATTAAATACTAGAGAAAGAAAGAAAAAAAACATCATACATTGATACTATTGTTATCAATTCTAGATGAAAATTATAGTTTTGTATTTTTAGAATTTAGCCAAGATACATCATAAACTAAAAAGTATGCAAAAACAAGAGATTATAAGCCCTTCCACTCAGCTAGGACTACAAAAAGCACATAGTCAAAGATGAATGCAATAATGATGTTGCTGTTGAATTGTAAACATCTAAGCTAGTGTTGTTGGAACTAGACCACCAAAATGTATGATAAACATGGGAGAAGAAATCTTTAATCTTTATTAAGAAATGAGACATGATTGGAAGATTTCTTATAATAAGGAAAAATCTAATATCCTCAAAGAAGAGTTGAAAGAAGGAATATCAAGCATACCATATGGAATCAAACAAGGTGACAATTCCAAGTCCATGGCTGATCTTTGCTTGTGAGAATAGTTAAAAGCTCAGTAATCAAGATAAAGTTCTTAATAAATCTTTAGTAGTAATTTGCCAACTTAAAAAAACCTGAAGTTATAAAATATCATTTGGTACTAAGATTTTTTGCAAAACATCTATCTTTGCTTGTTGTACACCAAGACTTCTTGGGATAATCATGTGATTGTCAAGGATAAGAACCCAATGAAAGCAAATAACCTAGTGATACTTTTTTTTTAAAGAAGTATGAAAAAATAGAAGTAAGGAAACTTGTATATTAAAAAAAAACTAGAATGGCTATTGCCAAAAGATAAGAAAACTAAAGACTCTTGAATCTAGATTAGAGCAAGAAAAGAGTTGACAAGAGTGAAGAAGGCTTCACTCTTGCATCTATATATACTATCCACCTAGGAGCTATGTGGCAATGTTCTATAGGACCTCTAACATGCATTGACTTTATAAGCCACATGTCTTAACTTGCAAGGCACGTTTTTATATGTGCACTATATAGTTAACTTATTCTACAAGCTATCCACACATGTGATACATGGTTAATTTATTGACCAAGTTTCTAACCTAAAAGTCAACTATAAACACATATAAAGTCAAAACTATGTCTATGAAGCTTCTAAAAAGCTTAATTAGAAGATATTATGAAATTAATATATTTTTATCTATTTTTATCTATTTTTATTTAATTATATAAGTAATTATTAGAATAAGTATATATATCTATGATAGCATGTCTGTGACATTACTCTTCTTTCTATGGACAAGTTCTATAAGGCGCAATCATCATATATTGAAAAAATCTAAGATGTGACAAATTATGCTTGCCACATACTGTAATCTTTGTTTTCTTCAAAGATGATTGGTAGGTCTTCTCATCCATTGATAATAAAATTATCAAACATTAAGAGTCTCTTTTAAGGTTGTGATATCAAACACATTGTATCTTGCCATTTATTCAAGGAAGAACATGTCATTTTTAAAGATCTTCATCTTGATTACATCTTCTTGAAGGTTGAAACAATTGTAATGTCTCATCTACCAAGTCAACAAACAATAGCTCTTGACTTGAATCTGCTAATTTTTGGTTTTTTATCTTTTTAGTACCATAATATATACAAAAATTACAAACAAAGATAAAAAATAAAGTATTATTATTTCTTGATCTTATTTCTTTTATAGCAAAGATTTTTTTATTCTTCATCTAGGTTTTGATGGATGTCATTGATGAAAAGCCTCCACCTTCTTTGCTACATTTGTAAGATTCTTTGTTGGCTTTCATGTGCATTTATTAATATCATATCCACATCAATGAACAAAATATTTTAATCTATTTTGATATTACTTTGAGTTTAAGACTTTTTCCACCTCAAATTCTTCATTATTGTTTACTTCTATAGTAGGAAGTAGGACTTGTTTTCTTCTTAGTATATTCATTGTCTTGTATAATTCAAGAAGAGATATATGGAATATAAAATGGATCTTCATTGACTTTGGTAGGTATAATCAACAAGCAACTAGATTGATTTGCTCTCAAATAATAAAAGATTCAAGCTTATGATTGTCTAATTTGTCATAAGAGCAAGTAGTCTTGATATTATGACAAAGTAACCATACCTTGTCACCCACGTTGAATTGTGGTTATTCTTTGTAATAGGCGTTTGCATTTATCTTTTGTTGTTCTTCAACATCTTTTAATTACACCTTCATTGTTGCATGTAGCTCTGATAAATGATTTGCTAAATCTTCCGCCACAAGATTATCAACTTTTAAAAAGTTAAAAGCATCAAGTCATGGATAATAACCATAATTAGCAAAGAAAGATGTTTGATGAAGAGAAGAGTCTATTGTATTATTATAGACAAATTCTACCATTGGCAAAAGAGTTATCCAATCAACTTGTTGGTAGTTGATGGTACACCTCAAATATTGCTCAAAAATTTGATAAACATGCTCCGTTTATCTGTTAATTTGAAGATGAAAGGCCAAAGATAACTTTATATTTATTTTTAGAATCTTGAAAAAGATTTTCTAAAATCTTAATACAAATTGAATCTCCCTATGTGATATAATATCTTTAGGTAATCCATAATAGTGATAGATATTTTAAAGAAAAAACTTAGTTATTTTTTCACATGTAATAGATTTTGTACACGATACAAAATATTTAATCTTGGTAAAATAATCTACTATCACAGATATAAAATCATACAAATTTGAGACTAGAAAATCCATAATAAAATCCATAGAAATAGAAGACCATGGTTGAAGAAGTCCATAGGATTGATGGCAAAGAATTTTTGACCTTGAACAAACATCACATGACTGAGTAAAGTGTTTCACTGCCTTCTACATTTGTAGCCACCAAAAATCTTTGGATATAAGCTCTAAAGTCTTATTGTATTTAAAATATCCGGCCACTAGAAAGTCATGATGTGCTTGAAAGATATATAAATGCTTCTCTTTTTGGAATATATAGGCATCTTTTGAAATAGAGTAGGTTATTTTTTAACTCAAACTTGGAAGCATCATAAGACTTAGAAGAAAGATTTTTGATATCATAAACAAGAGGATCATATTTGATTGAATTTGTATGACAAAGGTTGAATCAATAGTCAATGTTGATTTTATTGCTCAAAGATTAAAATATTCTTGTTTTAAAAGAATTGTTCTTTATTGAAAAAAAGATACTTCCCTTCTTTTGATGCAAGATGAAAATGTCTAAAAAGGATATTTGATAAACTTTGTTATTTTTGGAGTCGATAATTAATTTTAAAATCAAATCTTGACAAAGACATGATTCAATGGACTTAACAATAATTTAAAATATATTTTGACATAAAATATTTAAGATTATTGTGGTTTGTATATAGTGTTTAGATTAGAAGTACCTTTTAAATAATGGTACCATTCTTGAAATAAATCTATAATTGTAAAAAGTTCTTTATTATGAATCTTATAATTAACCTTGTGTCACGGCTATAATCATGTAAGCTAATAATTACATATACAAATAGATAGAAGTAAGTAAAAGTAGGTAAAAGTAAGTTAATTCTATAATATTTAATATAGAAGCTTCTTAGAAGCTTTTTAGATGCTACTTTGACTTAATAGGTATCTTTAATTGACTTTTTGGATTAGAAAGGTGGTCAACAAGTTGGCCATGTGCCACACATATTGTTAGCTTGAAGATCAAGCTAACTATGTGGCCCACACGTAGAAAAACTTGCCTTGTAAGTCAAGGCATGTATCCTACAAAGTCAACACATATTGGAGGTCCTATAGAACGTCGCCATGTAGCCCCTAGTTAGATAATATATATAGAGACAAGAGTGAAGGCTTCTTCACTCTTGTCAACTCCTTTCTTGCTTCTAGTCTAGTTTCAAGAGTCTCTAGTTTTCTTGTCTTTTGGCAATAGCCATTCCAGTTTCTCTTTCAATATATATACTTGTTTATATATATTTTGTTACCTCTCTTTGAGTGAAGGCTCACTTGTCTGAATTGTTTTTTCATCAAGTTCTTGTCCTTGACAGATTGACAAGAGTACACCTACAGTATCAGAGCTTTGTCTAATCTTGATTAAGAGTGGATTACCCCTTTTTTTTGATTAGATATAAGCGTATTAGAAGTTGCGGATTACCCTCTTCTAAACTGATATTGTCCTTAGTATTTTCTTTGTCCGCAAGTCCTCTCTTCTATTTGTCTTGAGCGATATTAGACATCTTCTCTCTTCTAAGTATTATAATGGCAGAACTTCTTGAAATGAA